AGAGTCAACAAAATAGGACTCCTTCCAGTCCTCACAACAAATATATTCAAAATATTGGATCTACAGTATGAACAGAATAAAGATTATAGTGTACTATCAAAAACACACCATATAGTGGTATTAAGGTTGCACTCACAAACAAAAATTGATTGAAGGCACATCGATTATTAAAGTTGGCAGAAAATCTTTCACAATGAGCATGTAGGAGAGAAAATGTAAATAATCATAAATGCAGACTGATTATAACCTAGTAGTGCGCTTTAAGTTGAATACACTTCAAGACTGTAGTGATATACAGGCATATCAAATCCCAGGACATAATGGTCATCAGCAGCAGTCCGCCAGCAATCTCATTAAATCGAAGAAAAAAACATTTCTCCAATTAAAAATCAAATTGATTAAGTAACCAAATAAAACAATTTAAATCTTTATTTGTTTTATTTGGTTATTTAATCAATTTGCTGAAGATCATTATGTCCTGGGATTTGATATGCCTGTATATCGCTACAATCTTGTTTTTTCAACTTAAAGCACACTACCAGGTTATAATCAGCAGGCATGTGCATGGGGAAATTTTCAGTTTGGTATTCCGAAATTCGGGACTTCCACACTTCGGAACCTCGGCACTTCTCTTGCAACCGCCTAGTAGATAACTCCTTAGTTCCCACGGTATTAGAGAGTTATCTACCAAAAGGCTGAAAGAACTAAATTGGTCTTTCAGCCAAATTTACTAATACTAAGTAAAAATTACTTAGTATTACTAAATTTTGCCCCTACTCACTAAAAATTTAAAAAAATAGGCTTTTAAACTAAAGGGGGGACCTATTGCCCCCCCTGCCCTCACCCTTGAGCGGCGGGTGGGGGCCCTAAAGTAAAATGATGGGGGGGACCTATTGTCCTCCCCCCCGGCCCCCACCCCTGAGTGGTGGGTGGGGGTTCTAAATACTAATAAGGGGGGACCTAATGTCCTTCCCCCCGGCCCCCACCCCTGAGTGGCAGGTGGGGGCCCTACAGTAAAATAAGGGGGGGAACCTAATGTCCTCCCTCTGGCCCCAACACCTGAGTGGCGGGTGGAGACCCTAAATAAAAATGTTACCCCCCCCCAGGTGACTAGGGGTCCCCAAACCCCTAGTCACCCCCCCAACCCTAAAAATAATGAGGGGGGGGGGACCTTTAACTAAGTACCTGTAAAAAAAATAAAACTTACCATTCAATGTTTTCTTTCTTCTAAAATCTTCTTTTTTCAGCCCCAAGAAAGGTCAAATAAAAAATCCATAATAACCGACGAACAAGAATAAAAAAAAACAAGCGCAAAAAAAAAAAATCCATCTTCACCCATGGATGGCTCCGCGCAGACTGAGCTCTGCAGGGCACTCTGATTGGTGGGCTTAAGCCATCCAATCAGATTGCTCTGACAGATAAATGAAGAGACTGAGAGGTAAGTTTCTACACTTACCTGTCACAGCACTCTGATTGTTTGGCTTGAAATTCACCAATCAGAGTGCTCTGTGTCATTTTACACAGCATGGGAAAGTTCTTTCGAATTTTCCCATGCTGTGTAATTTGACTCATAACTCTCTGATTGGTTACTTAATCCACCAATCAGAGAGTTATGAGTCAAATTACACAGCGTGGGAAAATTCCAAAGAACTTTCCCACGCTGTGTAAAATGACACAGAGCACTCTGATTGGTGATTGGTGGATTTCAAGCCAGAATGCTGTGACAGGTAAATGTAGAGACTTAACTGTCAGTCTCTTCATTTACCTTCAGAGCACTCTGATTGGATGGCTTAAACCCACCAACCAGAGTGCTCTGAGTCTAATTGCAGGGCGGGGCAAGGCTTTATACGCCTTCCCCCGCCCTGCAGAGCTCAGTCTGCGCGGAGCCCTCGCCGGGTGATGATGAATTTTTTTTTTTTTGCGCTCTTTTTTTTTTTTTAAGTGCGTTGGTTATTATGGATTTTTTATTTTGCCTTTTTTGGGGCTGAAAAAAGAAGATTTTAAGTAAGTTTTTTTTTTGGTTTTTTTACAGGTACTTAGTTAAAGGTCATCCCCCCTCATTACTTTTAGGGTGAGGGGGGTAGGTAGGGGTTGTTTGTTTGGGGGGGAGGGTGGGGGGTTTTGGGGCCCCTTAGTCACCTGGGGGGGGTAACATTTTTATTTAGGGCCCCCACCCGCCGCTCAGGGTTGGGGGTCAGACAATAGGTGCCCCCCCAATTGGAATTTAGGGCCCCCATCCACCGCTCAGGGGTGGGGGCCAGGGGGGAGGCCCTTAGGTCCCCACTTATTAGTATTTAGGGCCACCACCCACCGCTCAGTGGTGGAGGCCAGAGGGGAGGATATTAGGTTCTATTATTCGAAATATTTTGAAGGAAGAATTGTGGACCTATATTTCTGTGATGTAATCATATAAGAAAACTATGGATGATGGATATGAAGCCGAAAGGATCAAGAATGTTAACCCTCTCGGCTCTCTTACGGTACCGGTATGAGAGGGAGGCATGGACCGCACACGTAGTACCTGTGGGTGTTACTAACGTCAGGCGGCAACAGTGCACCGGCTCTCTGCCCACCGTTTTCAAGTATTTAAACTAGAGTAGGGAACCCAAGGATATCGAACGGATTCACCCGGTTGAAGAAGCCACACCGTCAGTGGCGAAACGCGTCCCGGATTTAGCACATTGTTGCACTTTTGTTATTTTTAATTCGTGTCAAATCTTTTAATTTTATTCATCATATCCTGGTTCCCAGCCTTTCATTTTTTATAGAAGGGAGTGCAGTCCTTAACCTGCACAACACTCAAAAATTGAGTCATTACTTTATGACTCTAGACTTGTAAGTACCCACTTGGGATTTCTATTTTAGACATTGTACCCATAAAACTGCGCAATTGTATCTCTACTTTCTACACAGAATGAGATTTATATCGCCAATAGGGGTGGGTCGCCTAAAACGGACCCAGAAGTGATCCAAACCAGAGCTGGGTTCATAGCTCTTTGTTTGTGAGTGCATTTATATTAAAATTGGGATTTAATATCTTGCTTTGTATGATCTACACTATGTTTGATTATTATTTTTTTATAGATACCTATGCATATCTCGATATAAAAAAAGGAGATCCTTTATCTGAACCCAAACAAGTGATTCATTTATTCCTCTGTATTTGTAAAAGCTCTACATTCTTTTCTTGTTTTGCATTGATTGTTGTAAGTGTTGCAAATGCTTACAGCTGAATCCTGGCTATGTTTGTATACTTTTTATTTAAAATTGTATACAGTGTAACATTCTTCATTCTTCCACTGAGTAAGTATATTAGTTCTTAGGCAATACTGTGCTTCGGTACTTCGGGACTTCAACCATTTGGCAATTCATCTATTCGGACATTCAGAAGTACCCGAATGTCCGAAATTCGTCAGAATTCCCATTCGGACCGAAACGAATTGCACATGTCTAATAATCAGTCTGCATTTATTATTATTTACTTTTTCTCTCCTACACACCCATTCACGTGTAGAAGATTTTCTGCCGACTTTAATAATCGAGTAAGATGAATCTGGAACCATCAAGGGAAATTCCAGTACATCCAGACCTATTATTACAAGGTCCCTGGACACACCAAGATCCTCAAGCTCTGGTGTTAATGCTGGAGTCTCTGTAAGTATAGGCATCACTGTGCCGGCCATTAGGATCCTATTACAGTCCTTTAAATACTTTACATATTACTAAACTTGGAATTTGTCTGTTTGTCTCAAGAATAGAGGTTGGAATTACTCCTCAATCAGGTCTAGAAAGGGTCTGAGTTATTACACTCTAGAGGAGCACATATCGGCACTTTCGAAATTGATAAGTACCCATTGAGCATTGAAGCCCCTGGTGCTTTGCTTCATGTAAGCAGTGATTAGACTCAAGCCTCTACTGAGGTTGTTCATGCCAATATTTGACCTACCACTGGTCTTACAGGCTCTGACTAAACCATCATTAGCAGGAGCTTCCATGGTGTTGGCACAGAAAGTGCTGTTGCTGGTGGCTAGTACCTCAGCAATGAGAATGTGTGAACTCCAGGCTCGGTCCTGTGAACCCCCATTCACTAATTTTCAACAGGATATGGTTGTCTTTCATTTAGCACCAGAGATCCTGCCTAAGGTGAAAGCTTATCAATGCCATTCTCTACCTGTACCAAAGAGTATCAGGGCACTCTCTACTCGTGCAGTTGCAGCATCTTGGGCTTCCTTGGCAATGGTCTCTGCTGAAACTTTTGTAAAGCTGGCATTTGGACCTCTTTGAACACGTTTGTCTTCACTTCAGAAGAACAAGTACTGGACGTTAAAGCAGCCAATGAGGCGCAATTTGGACGTCAAGTTCAATCTTTATATCTATGTTGAATTATTCTAATTATTTGATTGGCAGTTATTTATTTTTCTGTCCCTCCCTTTGAATCTTGTCAGGGGGTCCATTTACCTTTTTGTATAATGGGTTAACTGAATTTTGTGATGCATTTGACGTCATCTGGGCTATCTTTATGATACCTATTCGTCAAAGAAGCTGTCAATCTTCAAAGGCTTTTCTGTGGTTTTTACCAGACAGAAGTCTACTTTTGTGCCATTAAATTAGTTTCTGACACGTCCTAAACTCTTCTTCACCTCTTTATACAATGGAACTTTTGAAGATTCTGTTAATGTTTAAAAAGTAAAATTAATTAGTGTTATTTGTCATTGGTAATCCTATATCTGGTTTTCTTGTGTGAAACTGTGTAATAGACATGTGATTTATACATGTCTTTTACACATATTCCATTAACGTTAGTAAATAATATGACATTTCTTCATTGATATTATATCCCATTAAAAAGGTCCTGAAAGGTATATTAAAGATTTCGGTTCCACTCACCACTACAAGACTACCTATAGATGGACCTACCTTTAGATCACTTAGCAATCTCCTTGATGAATCCCCATTCGATCCCAACACAAACCTGGTCATCAAACCCGCTATTTATCTTGCTTTCTACGGGTTTCTCAGACCCAGAGAGTTCACCGTTGTTTGTCAAGGAGATATCACGCACAGCCTAAAAACATCACACCTCACTAAGGTGGAGGATCACTACCTACTTACGATCCCATCAACTAAAACTAACCACTCACAACATCCCACCATAATTCCTCTCTTCCCTACCGATAATGCCTGGTATCCGGTCAAGGCGCTAGATCACCTATGGTCAACCCATCACGTGCACTTACCAGACTCTCCGCCCTAATCACTACAAGGGCACCCGCTCACCACGGCTAAATTCACGACACACGTCAGGACACTACTATCCAAACTGGGTTACAATCCGGCTTCATTTTCCGGGCACTCATTCCGCATAGGAGCCGCTTCATCAGCCTCTAGCACAAACACCCTGGTCCACATCATCAAGAGACTGGGTCGTTGGAAATCCTCCATATATCATACATATATACCGCGACCAGAAAAAGAGCTTCGTCAAGCTTTCAGGAACTTGGTTATGTAAAAAGGGCAATAAAGTGTGTATTTTCTCGAACTTCTCTTTTGCCCTCTTTTATTTACAGGCCCACTCGTACGTTGGTTTCGGCACACCACAACCAACTTTGCCCTTTCAGATACTATCCATTACGTATTAAATTCCGAGCACAAGTAGAAAGGCCATTAGGCCTGAATTTGTGGGAGGAGTAAGTCCCCTACTTAAACTCCCAGCCCCTACTCACCTCTGCCGGTTCAGTTGATTGTCCCCAACCACCTACACCCTGTTATCATTACATTCTCCTCGGTGGGCCCTCTTTTATTTACAGGCCCACTCGTACGTTGGTTTCGGCACACCACAACCAACTTTGCCCTTTCAGATACTATCCATTACGTATTAAATTCCGAGCACAAATATATATATATATATATTTATATATATATTTGTCTCTGGGTTGTTGCGTTCAACCCCCCCTTGCTGCAGACATTATGTCTTATCTCTGCCAATGTTTATATTAGTCGCATTCCTTAGCTCAGGCTTGAGTGAATAGAGTACAGAGAAAAAAAAATGTGTCTGCCATTGCATTGTGATACAAAATGGAGTCACCTCAAATGTCTGCAAGCTACTAACCAACTGTTACGACTCCTATGGAAAACAGGATACAAGTTGTCCAGAAGAAAAGCAAAATATATGCTGCATAGCAGTCAAGTACTTAGGATTACATATCTCAGAGGGAAGCCGCAATATTGGTCCAGAACACAAAGAAGCCGTGTGCCGCATCCACATACCCACCAGTCACCGGACATTTTTGGGTGCCGCCAGATTCTGTCACAGGTGGATACCTCATCTCGCTATCAATGCAACGGCCCTGAACATGACCCATTTCTATGGGAACAAGAACAGACGGCTTTCAGAAACCTGAAGGAGGCCTCAGTCCAAGCCCCAATACTTGGACTTGCTGATCACCAAAGAGTGTTTTACCTGTATGTCCAGAAGAAGAGGAAATCTGCTGTTGATGTTCTCACCTAGTACTGGGCTCGTGGCAGCGGCCTGTTGCCTACCTGTCCAAACAACGGGTTCTAGTGGCCCAAGGCCTATCCCCATATCTGAGAACAGTATCTGTAGCTTCTCTCTTCATTATAGAAGCTGATAAATTGACCCTAGCACAAGAACTCTATGTTCTTGTTCCATATGCCGTCCAACCACAAAGTACCAAGCCATGCTATGCGAGAACCCAAGGAACTACTGTGAAGCGGTCAACTCACTGAACCTAGCCACTTTACTCCCAGAACCTGACCAGGGCCTTGCAACCTGACGCGGGCCTACGTGTCAACATCTACACTGACAAGTATGCATGCCTTACAACTCATGCCCATAGGGCCCTGTACTAGGAATAGTGCCTACTCAACTCTGGTGAAAAAGACATCAAGCAATCATCTGAAATTTTGGCACTACTCGAAGTGGTCTGGGCTTTTGCCAAGTTAGCATCATCAGGAACTATACTATATGTGAATATTGAAATCTTAAATAATGAGACCCACCAGGTTTTTCAATCTTTTTATGAAGAGATGGGATAGTACCCTGTCCCAAATCTGAAGGGTTGTTAAAGAACCCCCTAATTGAGAATGGGTGGATGAGTGGATTTGGTCCAGAATTTGAGACTTTTTGTATGTACTCCCACGTGTCTGGAGCAGCAAATGTATAATTCTTCTGATAGGACAACCTCCTGGTGATCCACAACCAATGCAATTGAACATCCCCTTAGTCCCCTTTGGTAATTAGCCACATCTAAAAGATGTATGGACCGATTTGTCTGCAAGGTCCACCTGGATAGCACCCAATAATATGTATTGGATTTGTTTCCTTAAGGCCCACTCTGAACTCCCCAGAGATTGGTCAGGAGCCTGGGTTCTAGGAACCTTCCTTCTTCTTGCTTCCCCTAAGGGAGGGCGAGATCCTTGGTGTAGGAATAGCTCTTAAGGCAGCAAAGGACACGGACGATAGGTCAATGGAAGGATAATGAGTGGCCCCCTGAACTAATAAATGATTATAATGATCCTGCTACATGGGCTGAGGATGGGACTTATGATGTTGAATCGAATAATCGGGTTACAAGCTGTAGTTGAAATTGTGACCAACAAAGCTTTTGGACAAACAGAATACCAGAATGTGGACTGCTATCTATCAGAACCGCCTAGCCTTAGACTATTTGTTAGCCACAGAAGGGGGTGTATGCAGAAAGTTTAACTAGTCTACTTGTTGCCTTAAGTTTAATGGCAAAGAGAAGGCCATAAGTGCCAATTTTGATAAAAAAAGGACAGTGGCCCACTTTTCAGTAGACATGGAACGGACTAAAACCTTAGTGGTTGGTTCACAGAATGGTTTGATTCGTTTGGGTGTTTAAAAACTCTAGTGGGAGGGTTTCTACTCCTGATGGCACTTTGTATGCTACTCTTATGTTTGATTCCGTTGCGGCTTTGTTCCCTCCACAGTATAATTGACGCTACTATAGAAAGGAAAACATCAGGTCATGTCTTTGCCCTTTGGAGCTATACACCCCCTTAAAGGACCACTATAGGCACCCAGACCACTTCAGCTTAATGAGGTGGTCTGGGTGCCAGGTCCAGCTAGGGTTAACCTTTTTCTATAAACATAGCAGTTTCAGAGAAACTGCTAGGTTTATAAATGGGTTAATCCAGCCTCTAGTGGCTGTCTCATTGACAGCCACTAGAGGCGCTTCTCACTGTGAAAATCACAGTGAGAAGACGCCAGCATCCGTAGGAAAGCATTGAGAATGCTTTCCTATGGACTTGCTGAATGCGCGCGCGGCTCCTGCCGCGCATGCGCATTCAGCCGAAGAGGAGGCGGAGATGAGCTCCCTGCCCAGCACTGGAGAAAGAAGTTTAACCCCTTCCTCTCCATCCAGCCCGGCGGGAGGGGGTCCCTGAGGGTGGGGGCACCCTCAGGGCACTATAGTGGTCCTTTAATCAAGAAGATCCTGTGTAACCTCACTTGCTTAGAACCCAAGACTAGATTGGTATGGTATTTCCGGTTATGATGCATATCGGCTACCTGCATCAAGGTGTTGAAGCATCAAAAGGGGGAATGTGGTAGAAGCTACAGAATGTTTAAGTAAAGTTCAGTACTCGAATGGTTAAAACTACTGTGTAACTATCTTGGACCAGGGCGCATGTGAGGAATGTCAGGAACGCCCACTATTAGATAACGTATGTAAGAGATAAGTTTTAATGTCTGTATTCTCTGTATACGTATGTAATATTTCATTTGTGGTATATATTCGTTGTTCTCTTGTAAACGTGTGTATTACAAGACTATCGTCCGACAGACATTTGCAGCTGCAAATAAAGCAATGTTTGCTCCCTGGAATCCGTGTCCATTCTTTTATCTGCTTCTTAACCTTGAGTTCCTATAACAACAGGTCCTCTTTAAAGTAAACCCAGTTGTAGGTAATGTTCAGTGTAGTATAGGTGTCATTTCCTAATAATGGACAGTTTCCCTTTAAGACCAAACCTAGGATTGGCACCAGCATGGAATGTAGAATGAATCACGAGCGATGAGTCCCAGGATCACATGACTTCACTCAGGGCCCAACTGCCAGTCACTTCCTATTTCGCGCGCTTTCCAGGCTGCCATGCTGTACTGCCTAGAAACAAGCTCCGCCCATCTCCGTCACGAGCTGATCGGCCTGTTCTATACGCCAGAGACCAAAACCCCTTTCCAGTCAGTCTCCGTTACTAAAGGACGAAGGCGTTAATGGCCGTTATAGCCCTAGCGGGTGATTAATATTGTCTGTCCCATAGCAATGTGTTGGCCCCGAGCCCTCGAACAGTGACAGTAACGGCCTTAGAAACGCATGCCAACCAGCGAGGCGCTGCTCACATTCCGTCATCGGCCGCGGTCGGTCACTCTCTCAGTTTTTCTCCGAAGCTCGGGCCAATGAACGCCCGGCGAGCGTGTGGCGCGCGGGCAGCGTGAGGTCAGCGCGCGCGTCAGTCAGAAGCCCTCCCCTGGCCCCGCCCCCTCCAGCCAGCTCTCCGGCCCGCGCTCAGTCTCGCGCCCTCTCTCTCTCTCTGTCTGTTTGTGGAGCAGCGGCCATGGCGGCGGAGCAGCAGCAGTTCTACCTGCTCCTGGGCAACCTGCTCAGCCCGGACAATGGCAGCCGGAAGCAGGCCGAGGTGAGCGAGCCGGGGTGCGGCAGGGTATGGTGGCCGGGTCCCCCTGCTTGAGGCGGGAGTATGTGTGTGACTGAGCGCGGCCCACGTGTGAGTCCGGAGCGGCCGGCACCTCCCCGAGCGGCACGGTGCGCCCTCACTGCACAGCTTCATCAGCATTCAACACCGCACAACTTTATTATCACTCACACACCGCGTGCCGCCCGCCCGGCCGGCCGGTCACCAGCTCACTCCCTGTCCGACACCGCGCCAGCATGCAGCCTGGCAGAGCGTCAGGGGAGCCGGATATAGCCCGATACACCCCCTGTCTGCCTCCTGTCACCAACTACATGCACCAGCTAATAGTATACCCACTGAGTACACCATCACCATCCTGTTACATATAGTATACCCACTGAGTACACCATCACCATCCTGTTACATATAGTACACCCACTGAGTACACCATCACCATCCTGTTACATATAGTATACCCACCGAGTACACCATCACCATCCTGTTACATATAGTATACCCACTGAGTACACCATCACCATCCTGTTACATATAGTATACCCACTGAGTACACCATCACCATCCTGTTACATATAGTATACCCACTGAGTACACCATCACCATCCTGTTACATATAGTACACCCACCGAGTACACCATCACCATCCTGTTACATATAGTATACCCACCGAGTACACCATCACCATCCTGTTACATATAGTATACCCACTGAGTACACCATCACCATCCTGTTACATATAGTATACCCACCGAGTACACCATCACCATCCTGTTACATATAGTATACCCACCGAGTACACCATCACCATCCTGTTACATATAGTATACCCACCGAGTACACCATCACCATCCTGTTACATATAGTACACCCACCGAGTACACCATCACCATCCTGTTACATATAGTATACCCACCGAGTACACCATCACCATCCTGTTACATATAGTATACCCACCGAGTACACCATCACCATCCTGTTACATATAGTATACCCACCGAGTACACCATCACCATCCTGTTACATATAGTATACCCACTGAGTACACCATCACCATCCTGTTACATATAGTATACCCACTGAGTACACCATCACCATCCTGTTACATATAGTATACCCACTGAGTACACCATCACCATCCTGTTACATATAGTATACCCACTGAGTACACCATCACCATCCTGTTACATATAGTATACCCACCGAGTACACCATCACCATCCTGTTACATATAGTATACCCACCGAGTACACCATCACCATCCTGTTACATATAGTATACCCACCGAGTACACCATCACCATCCTGTTACATATAGTATACCCACCGAGTACACCATCACCATCCTGTTACATATAGTATACCCACCGAGTACACCATCACCATCCTGTTACATATAGTATACCCACCGAGTACACCATCACCATCCTGTTACATATAGTACACCCACCGAGTACACCATCACCATCCTGTTACATATAGTATACCCACCGAGTACACCATCACCATCCTGTTACATATAGTATACCCACCGAGTACACCATCACCATCCTGTTACATATAGTATACCCACCGAGTACACCATCACCATCCTGTTACATATAGTATACCCACCGAGTACACCATCACCATCCTGTTACATATAGTATACCCACTGAGTACACCATCACCATCCTGTTACATATAGTATACCCACCGAGTACACCATCACCATCCTGTTACATATAGTATACCCACCGAGTACACCATCACCATCCTGTTACATATAGTATACCCACTGAGTACACCATCACCATCCTGTTACATATAGTATACCCACCGAGTACACCATCACCATCCTGTTACATATAGTATACCCACCGAGTACACCATCACCATCCTGTTACATATAGTATACCCACTGAGTACACCATCACCATCCTGTTACATATAGTACACCATCACCATCACTCTGTTACATATAGTATACCCACCGAGTACACCATCACTGTTACTATACTAGAATATACCCACTGGCACCGAGTACACCATCACTCTGTTACCATATAGTATACCCACCAAGTACACCATCACCATCCTGTTACATATAGTTCACCATCACCATCACTCTGTTGCATATAGTACACACACTGAGTACACCATCACTCTGTTACCATATTATAGTATATTCCCAGAATACATCAACCTTCTTCCTTAGAGTATCCACAGAGTACACCATCATCATCCTGTTACTATGTTCTCAATGGCTTTACAGTCTGAGTTCAGACTCAGTACATCTCTCTGAACTAATGTTCTAATTCTCTAAGTCAGGGATAGGCAACTTTCGGCACTCCAGTTGTTGTGGACTACATCCCCCATAATGCAATTACACACATATTGCTGGCAAAGCATCATGGGAGGTGTGGTCCAAAACAGCTGGAGTGCCGAAGGTTGCCTATGCCTGCTCTAAGTATTCCATGTGCTTTCTCTAGCTACAAGCTCCAGTAACTAGGGGACCGACAGAATGCTCCTTCCTGGACTGCTGTCATATAAACACCTCCCATCCATTGCATGGCATTAGACATGTCACTTTCTGCTTTATACTGACCCGGATTAACTTCACTTTTACTTTATTATACATTTCTACTACCTACTTTCCTTAAGAACTTTATTCAGATCTTTATAGTTTTGCTCCCTACTCATCTGGCGATATCTTTGTGAGCCATTTCCTGCCTCATGCCAAAATATTCTGTTGAACATGCATTCACAGTGAATGAATGTCAGTGACTCATTCTTTCAGTAAAGTTTGCAGTGCTTTATCTGAATGATATAAAGCATATTGTTGCTTTTTATACAGTGCCAAATGCAGTACATGTTTTAATTTTTATAACTCAATGTGGATCATGGCAGCAAGTCATGCTTCAGACATTCAGTATTCTCAGCGAAAACGTTTCACAGTAAATCCTTATAAAGTGACTTAATCCTTTTCCAGCCGGACATATTGTGTAGTTTGGAAGGGAATCTCTTTTGAATGGCCCTAAATTCCTGTCTCTGCACAATCTCACTGACTGATTCTTTCATGACTATCTCCTCACACAGCACAGTTCAGCAAATTCTTTTATCTAACAATTGAGCACAATCCCCCTTTAAATCTAGTCTGTACAATTTAGTCACCTCATCGTTGCACTGCGCTATATATATACATACATGCACACACACAATCTTAAATAACTTAATGCATTATGTTCATAATAATCCACTAAACATATTTAAAACTTGTTAACAAGGAATATTTTATTTTTCAATGTTTTATTTATTCCTACTAATAGCATACACATGTGAAATAACACACTTTCCCCAATAGAAAGTGACGTTGAATAATTTTTTTCAATTAAAACAATGCATATATAAACCAGAACACACTGTGAATTTTTGATGGACTTGGCATGAGTGTGTGTGTATAATTTTATTTTTATTATTTGAGAGAGATACTTGGCACTATATTTTTTTCCTTAGGTGATTTCAGTCCAGAAATTTTGCTGTGGTTGACTAAGAAAATGTATAGCAGCCAATTATTTATACAAAAATAGTTTTAATATATTTAAGTTGCGTTTTTATGGAATCAAGCTACCATTGAGCAGTGGTGTATTTTAGATTTGTGCTACCCTAGGCATAATGGAACTCGGGCACCCCCTAATTTGAATTTGCCCCACCCCTTCTCATTGAGGCCACACCGCTTCCTGTTAAAGACTAACACTCACAATTACTCAGACACACACATTGGCTGACACACACTGATGTACTCACTCAGACATACACACATTGACCAGACTAAAACACACATTGACCAGACTAAAACACACATTGACCAGACTAAAACACACATTGACCAGACTAAAACACACTCAGATACACTGACATACACACTGACCAGACTAAAACACACTTTGATATTGACGACAGGCACACACTCAGATACCCTGACATACACACTGATTTGACCCAATCACTCAGGCACACACTGACAGACACACTCACAGTGTGTGTGAGTAACAGACACACCAATTTAGACACCCAGGCACACACTAGGGCTGATGGCCAGGGTGTTGGGGCTGCTGGGCAGAAGGCGGGCATGCATGCGGGTGGGCGCACTGATAGACTCACGACGACAGACACAAACATTCATGAACAGACACACTGACAGATATACACACACACATACATACACACACGCATTCAGTGATAGGCAAAGGTGGCTAGCCGGCCAGCTTTTGGGCCCCCATAAAACAAGACTGAAAAGGCATTGCCTGGGCATCTGGGGGCGGCATTTTTTTGCCCCCTAGAAAGTGCCGTCCGAGGCAGATGCCTTGTCAGCCTTGTGGTACATACATCACGACCATTGAGCATCTTTAGTTTGTCAGAGATTCTTTGTCAAACTCATTATTTTTACCCTTTTGGTCACCATTAAAAAAAAAAAAAAAAAAAAAAAGACACTATAAAACTGAGGGGGAAAATTGGTGTTCTTTACTTTGTTATGCCCTACCGCCCTAACTAAAAAGTTATAATAAAAAAAAATAATCACCTGTGATAATGTGCAGATCAGCCTCCTTCTGGCAACCTGTCTGCCACTTCTGAGATTATCACTCCAAATTCTATTATCCAGTTAAATGCTTCTCGTAGAGAAGCATTAGGGACCTAATGGGATTGCACATCAATAGTCCTGATGAGCCATTTGTATACTTATGATACAGAACTATTGAAATCAAGATCTTTACAGCATTTAGCAATGAGGAATATGAAGGCTTTCAATGAGGAATTGTCCCTAGTGGCTGTTTAACAGCTGCTAGAGCTATGCTTATGGTCAAATGTGCACATGGCCACAAAAAAAGGAACGGAGTCAATTAGAATTCTTGACAATTCACACGTTGAATTTATCACCATTTTCTTTCAGATGTCCTATTTTGTTTTGGTGACAGCTCTACAATACTTACATTTTACTTTGTTCCTACATTGAAGGTTAAATGTTGAACTCATCTTGAAATAGAGAACTTTTGCTAATGATGCTCCTTTCTAATTATGGTAGAACTATGTGTAAGACAAACAGTTTAAAGGGATTCTGTGATAGTGCACTGTAGGGAAAGCAGAGTTGTTCTAGTTTTTGCCCATGCTAGGAAATTGCCTCCGCTAATCCCGACTTTCCGATTACCTTTAATGAAATATACCCCTCACTGCTAGAATTGTTACATAATTTACTCTGTATTAATCTGAAAATATGATTTTTACTGATGAAGCTGATAGCAGCTGCCGTGGACTTTCTGCAATGTGCATAGGTTGCTATAGTGTTTCGTGCCCTTTTTAAATCAGTTTGCAAGAATATTGGGTAAATAGCTCAGCTAACTAAGCTTGCTAAGATACTGAATTATCCCTTCTTTGGTTGTAACTATTTTCCCTGTTGAATGTTTTCAGTCACTGGTAGTGTTGAATAATATGATAAATCTGAGTCAAATTATGATCATTATAGAGAGCCGTCAAATTACGCAGCGCTTTACAATGGGTGGACGAACAGATATGTAGTTGTAACCAGACAAGTTGGACACACATGAATAGAGGGGTTGAGGGCCCTGCTCAATGAGCTTACATGCTAGAGGGAGTGGGGTAAAATGACACAAAAAGGTAAGGATAGTATTAGACTAGTGACAGTTGCAGAAGAGGAATCAGTCAGGAGCTATTAACAGTTTAATTGATACGCTTTTATGAAGAAGTGGGTTTTTAACTATTTTTTTTGAAGGAGTGGAGACTGGGTGAGCATCTAACGAAGGAGGGTTGCGAGTTCCACAGAAGGGTGAGGCATGGGAGGTGCGGGCGGACAGGAAGATGAGCCTCGCAGCTGCATTCATTATGGACTGTAACGGCGCTAGTTGGGAGCACGTAAGAACACTGAGAAGCGGATTACAGTAGTCAAGGCGAGAAAGGACAGTGGAATGGACCAACACCTTAGTCGTATCTGGCGTTAAGTAGGGGCGGATGCGCACAATGTTTTTGAGATGGAAATGACAGGATTTGGCGATAGCTTAAATATGAGGCTTGAAGTAGAGGTCGGAGTCAAAGAGAACACCTTGGCCGCGAGCCTGTGTGGTGGAGCTGATGGTAGCACCGTTGACTTGTAGGGAGACAGACAGAGGAGTAACAACACTTGAGGGAGGAAAAACCAGAATTTCAGTTTTGGTCAAGTTTAGTTTAAGGAAGTGGGAAGCCATCCAGTTAGAAACAGCAGAGAGGCAGTTAGAGACACTAGTCAAGAGGGACGGGGAGAGATCAGGAGAGGACAGATTTGCGTGTCATCTGCATAGAAATGATTTTGGAAGCCAAAGGAGCTAATAAGTTACCAAGGGAGGCAGTATAGATGGAGAACAGTAGGGGACCAAGGACTGAACCTTGGGGGACACCAACAGAGAGGAGTTGGGGAGAAGCAGAGCCAGAGAAAGAAACACTGAAAGAGTGCTGGGTGAGGTAAGAGGAGTACCAGGATAGAGCAATATCTTGTAGACCGATATTGCGGAGGATGAGAAGAAGCTGTTGATGATCAACAGTGTCAAAAGCCGCAGACAGGTCAAGGAGAATTAGGATAGAGTAGTGACCACGAGATTTTGCAGCGAGTAGATCATTGGATTCTTTGGTCAGTGCCGTTTCCACGGAGTGCTTAGCGCTGAAACCAGACTGAAGCGGGTCTAGCAGAGAGTTGGACTCGAAGTCTGTCAATCTCACATATACAACTTTTTCAAGGACCTTGAATGCAAAAGGCAGTAGCGAGATAGGACGATAGTTGGATGGGGAGTTAGGGTCAAGGTAAATTTTGTGGGCTGCGCGCCGCACGTAGCGTTGCCATGGTAACCCGTGGCAACGCTCTGATGGCCGCGGGACACGCAAGATTTACGTAGAGGAGCTGCTGGGATGGTAAGTAACAGCTTGCTGCGGGCCCCCCCAGGACCGCCGGGCTTGTAATGGGCCCGGCATTCCTGTTATGTATTATCGGCAATATCTGTATCTTTATTGGCCGATATTGCTGAAAATACCGAATATCGGCCAGACCAAAAATCGGTCCATCTCTAATACATATCGGTCAAAATAAGATGGGAATCTGTCATTTCACTATGTTTGAGAAGGAGGAAGTTGTGTGGCTTCCTTGCGGTCTGACAAAGTCATGTAACTAGTGTGCAGCTTGCTGAGTGTGAGTCTATGCTGTTAAAGGATCACTATAGTGCCCCAAGGGTGCCACTCCCGCTGGGCTGAAGGGGTTAAAACCCCTTCAGCCACTTACCTTAATCCAGCACCGGGCTCCCTCGGCGCTGGTGACCTCTCCTCCCCCGCCGTCAGCTCCCGAGCGGAATGCGCATGCATGGCAAGTGCCGCGCTCATTCAAACAGTCCATTGGAAAGCATTTCTCAATGCTTTCCTATGGACGTTCTGCGCGCTGGATGTGAATTTCGCATCCAGCGTCGCAAATGCGCCTCTAGCGGCTGTCAGGAAGACTGCCACTAGAGGTTGGATTAACCCTGCTATGTTTACATGTGAAGGGTTAAAACCTGAGGGACCTGGCACCCAGACCACTTCATTGAGCTGAAGTGGTCTAGGTGACTATAGTGTCCCTTTAAAGATGCAGTCTCAAGAAGTATAATTATGAACTTTTGGGGAAAAGAGTAACCTAATTATGGCTTTGTGGTTCAGGAATATTGAACCAATTGTGAGTTTTCAAGAGTTTTTGAAAATTTCTTGCAGGTGTTAAAGGAACCCTTCAAACACCATAACCACTACAGTGATATTAAATGCTTGATACATAAAATGCTTCCTGTGGTTCAAGTGTGCCCTCTCGAATAAGAATTTATTTAATATTTTATTCTACAAGAGCAAATGTTTTAATTAGGAGAAGAAAATAAGCTTATGAAAATGTATAATATCTTTCTTCATATATAGAAGTTTTTTAGGAAAGTTTTATAGATGGTGCAGTTAATGGTGTTAAAATAAATAAAAAGTTCAAATTGTCCATGTCAAGTGTCTTATTACAAACATTTGTCTGAGGTGCTTCTCATGTCAGATGTAGTGGGAAAGTGTGATGCTTGATTTTGCAAAGTGGCTAGCTGTGTGGTTAGTACGTGATTAAAAGGCCAGTAAGACAGGAGAAAGAAGAAAAAGGGAGAGATGAAAAGTTCATTCACAAATAAACTTTTGATAGGAACTGTACTTATCACGAAAGTTATTTCATAGTAATCAGTCAGTTTCTATAGGCCCTGTTGGGATGGTAATTTTGTCATAAAAATGAATGCGTCAATTTCTTAAACATAATACATTTGGTAAAGCTAGAACTATAGAAAGAGGGAAGTGCTCATGCCATTGTACAAAAGACTGGTGAGACCTCACTTGGAGTATTGTACACAGTACTGGAGACCGTATCTTCAGAAGGATATTGATACCTTAGAGAGGGTTCAGAGAAGGGCTACTAAACTGGTTCATGGATTGCGGGATAAAACTTACCAGGAAAGGTTAAAGGATCTTAACATGTATAGCTTGGAGGAAAGACGAGACAGGGGGGATATGATAGAAACATTTAAATATATAAAGGGAATCAACACAGTAAAGGAGGAGACTATATTTAAAAGAAGAAAAACTACCACAACAAGAGGACATAGTCTTAAATTAGAGGGACAAAGGTTTAAAAATAATATCAGGAAGTATTACTTTACTGAGAGGGTAGTGGATGCATGGAATAGCCTTCCAGCTGAAGTGGTAGAGGTTAACACAGTAAAGGAGTTTAAGCATGCGTGGGATAGGCATAAGGCTATCCTAACTATAAGATAAGACTAGGGACTAATAAAAGTATTTAGAAAATTGGGCAGACTAGATGGGCCGAATGGTTCTTATCTGCCGTCACATTCTATGTTTCTATAGGAAGTTGAATAAATAAAAATAAATATTAAAGATTATGCCACTGAGCGTGACTTCCTTTTGCATACCTGCACTTTGTCTTTTATATTTCTTAATAAAAAGATTTTACACCAGAAACAATACACTTGAGTGACAATGAAAGGGGATATAGATCCTTATCCCAACGTTTCAGCAATTTCTGCTGAATTTCTCAATGGACATGCTGGTAAACTATTTGCCATATAAGTAGTACGTTTTTCTATAACATCAAAACCGAGAATATGAATGAGCAACAGCTGAGAAGACTCATAAACTTCCTCTTTGGTTAGTCCCCACTCAAGTCTCCCAAAATGTTTTTGCTCACTTGTGCCATCACAAAGCGAACCTAGATCATTTGCATGTCAGACTGATTGCACCCATAAGGGCAGTCCAGAAACAAAATGCTGGCAAGTTCTCTCTGCATAAGGGATATAGCAACCTCAGACAATCATTTGGCCGTCTTAGGGCATTGTCAGCAAGGTGTAGCTGACACCACTCTAGGCACAGTGTCCATTTCAAGATTACCCTTTTAGCTTAGGTAGAGCTTGAGCAAATGCATTGCAACAAAAACTGAGAACGAGCAAAAGTTTAGAGACACTCAGTAGCTTACAGTTTAATCCCTGCTCAGGTCTCAAAATTGTTTTTGCTCACTTGTACCATTAGCTTATTGGACTGATACCACAGATTTTGTTTTCTATAGTTTTATTTTTGTGAATTTGAGTTGATTTTGATAGTAGTTTGCTTTGTACAGGTTTTTATTAAACTGTATATTGGCACCTTATTTTTTTTCTTTTTACGTTTCTGCAAATGTGTATGTTTTTAACAATTTCATAGATATGCTAAATATAATTACAAGGTATGCCTCCTTGCCATCTTCATTGCTAAAAAATAAAATGTTTTGAAAGCTTAAACCAGAGCATGCAACGGTCTCCTAATAGAAAAAGATTATAGGCAAAAACATATGCCTAGCCTGAAAAGGATGTGCGATGTGGCGAGTAGAAACTTCACTGGGGTTTGAGTCTTTTTTTTTTGTTTGTTTTGTTTTTTTTTTTTGTTTTTTTATGGTTCGCAAAAAAAAATTTATTCACACATTTTCTACAGCACATACATTTAGAGATCTGATCATAATCACACTTTTGCAATTCCTTCAGTGAGCACAACCAAATTCTCCAACTATAATTAGGTTACTTTAGTATTTTGATTATTTTAACCCCTTAAAGGACCACTATAGGCACCCAGATCACTTCAGCTTAATGAAGTGGTCTGGGTGCCAGGTCCAGATAGGATTAACCTTTTTTTCTGTAAACATAGCAGTTTCAGAGAAACTGCTATGTTTACCTATGGGTTAATCTAGCCTCTGGTGGCTGTCTGATTGACAGCCGCTAGAGGGCTTCCGCGCTTCTCACTCTTTATATCACTATATATACCTATACATAAATAAAAATAATTTGTGTGTGCATTACTACTTTATGTAGTCATCGAAAATGTACAACAGTGCGATGGGATAGCAAAATAGGAGACACGCAGGTTTCGCAAAATCGGCAACAGCAATATTATTATAAATGAATGTAAACCTAAACAATATTAACAGAAAGTAGTACAGTATCAGTATTGGTAAATTCGTTATGTTACATGCATTCAATAATCAGACGTCTGCATCCTATGGTCGTACATTAAGGGGTGAGTGTGTCACCTCTGGGTGAGCCAGGTAGTGACTGTGTAGTACGTGGCCAAGATTCGCCTGTTATCATGATGATTGCATATAGCCTAGGAGTATCTTCTAGGCAGGTAGGGGCCACTATAGCGTCTGTGGTATAGCTAACCTGAAGTTTTAATTCGTAGAGGGGACTCGTCGTCCCATACAATATTGATATAGTGGGTTTCCATTGGGTCTTATTTCATTTGGCTGCGCACACCTTGCGCTGGCCCTGTTTTGTCGTACGGGTGGTATAATCTGTTGGGTCAGTCTATAATAGTGGGCAGTAACGAGTTAGCGGAGCATCCGTATAACACCTGAGGCCCAAACCTGCCATACCCTCCTGTTTGACTGCAGTTGAGACTAGTGTGCACGGTCAGTGAGGTCAGACTCTTGCGCGAGGGCAGGGTGTAAAAAGGAGAACACGATGACAGGAGGGGATTGGGGAGAGAGGAAAGAAAAGGGGGGGGGATCTCGAGGAGCACCAGCAGCGTGCCCGTGGTATTTTCGGATCCGTGGTGTTCCGTGCAGTTCGGTGTCACCCGCCCTGGGGTGCGGATGGAGGGGGTACCCTTCACGGGCCACGCCCCCGCACCCTGCCCAGCCACGGCCGCCACCTCAACATGCTTCTCCTCCATACCTATCAATGAGTCGTGTATCAATTCCGCCCTGTATATCTACACCCGTTCCATCCATAGTCCAATCGTCAGGGTTACATCTTGCTTCCAGTGCAGCGGAATCAAAGCCTTGGCGGCGTTCAGCAGGTGTAAGAGCATGGATTTTCTATACACCCCTATGGTGTCTGTTGTAGAGTGTAGGAGAGCTGTCTCTGTCGAATCTGCCGTCCGTCCCCAGTATATCCTCCGTTCGTCGCTTGACCTCGTCCCAAAACGGTGTGATGCGTGGGCATTCCCACCAGATATGTAAGATCGTTCCTCGTCCCTCTCCGCATCTCCAGCATGTCGGGTACCTCCGGGTAGATTCTGTGCAGGCTGTCGGGTGTTCTGTACCAGAACGATAGGAGCTTATAATTGGTTTCCTGATAGTTGGAGCTAGAGGAGCATTTGTGAAGTAGGACCAGGATCTTTTCCCATTGATTTGCGGTTACCTAGGATGCGTTCCCAGCGTCGGCGAAAGGTGTCCGCGTTCTCCAGGTGACCTACATGGAGGTGTTGGTAAATGAGGGATGTTGACTTGGCTAGGTTGGTCCTTCGGTCACAGAGTACCTCAAACCACGTCAGGTCCCTATGTAGGGCTTCTCTGTGCGATAGGGTTTGGTAGAAATATTTAATTTGTGTGTAGCGGAAGATTTGCATTGTGGGCGGTTGGTTGTTGTCTATAAATTCCCGTAGTGGTATTATGCCTGTGTTATTCAGCATCTTATGGATGGGGAGGGATTCTCCCCCACCTAGGATACTTCAAGATGTCGGCGGAAGCCCACCTTCTATCTGAGGGTTATATGGTAGCTGTATCATCGGGCTCGGTGTTGGAGACAGCTGTGGAATTCTTCTGATGCTGTCCCACGTTTTTAGTGTCTGTGCCACAGTGGAGGTCTCTTCGAGTTCCATACTGTAGTGAGAAGCGACGACCTCATGTGGTTTTTATCTAGTTCAATCCATTGTTTGTGTGCTGGGTGAGTATGCCATTCCAAGACCTGTTGTAGCATGATGGTATTTGCGGAGATCTGGGAGTGCTGTTCCACCCCATGCTCGTGGCATGCATAGGATATCTTGTCTGAGTCTCGCCTGTCCCCCACTCCACACGAATCGTATCATAGCGGTCTGAAGTATGAATCCAGTTTGATCTGGGTGGACCAGTTTCGGCAGTAGGCCTCCGATCCTGGTGGATAATGTCTTGGTCAGTAGTTTTACATCCACATTGAGTAGGGAGATCGGTCTATAGCTGCTGCATAGTTCGGGTTCTTTCCCTGGCTTCAGGAGAACCGTGATTGTAGCCGCCAGTGACTCCTGGTGGAACTGAGCGTCCTCGATGAGAGCATTGACTGCGTTGGTAAGTTTTGGGATTAAGATGTGTTGGAATTTCTTATAATATTCTAGGGTGTCTGGGCCTGGCGCTCGACCTGTTTTAGCTGCCTTGATCGCCTCCTCCGCCTCTGTTATCGGTACTTCCAAGTCCTCCAATTCCCCTCGTTGCAGTCTCGTCCCCACATAGGTTTCAATATAGTTCTGCATTTTTTCGTTCCTATCTATCTCATTTGGTTGTCGTTTGCGGGATATTATATAGTGAGGAGTAGAATGTCCGAAATTCCGAGGCTATCTTATCCGGAAATTGTGTAATTGTGCCATCAGCTTGCCATAGTCTGTTGACTTGGGCTAGTCCCTGTGGACCTTTAAGCATCCTGGCCAGTAGCCTCCCGCCTTTGTTAGCATGTTGATACAATGAACGTTAGTGACCGGTCGTCATGTGTGTTTGAAGCTGTCTCCGGGCTTCCAGTAGCTCCGCGTATGTCGACTCGAGGTGTGATCTTTTATGCTGTATTGAGTGTAGATATGTGGTCCACAAGGTCGGTTATTTGTCGTTGAGATTCTTTTCTCTTTTTGGAAGCCTGGTGCATCAGTGTGCCGCTTTTATGCACCTCCCAGATCATGGTTGCGATGTGGTCTCCAGGTGCGTTGAGCGTAAAATATGAATTGAGTTCTTCGGAGACCTGTTCCCTTACTGTAAGGTCTAGCAGTAGCGAGTCTTGGAGCCTTCATGCCCACGAGGTTGGGCGCATCCTTGGGGAATCTATCTTCAGAGTGACTGGTCCATGGTCGGACCATTGTGCAGCTCCTATCTCCGCTGTTTGAATTGTCGTCAACTGTTCTTGTTGCATGAATATATAATCTATTCTCTAGTAGCGTTTGTGGATCGTGGAATAGTGGGTGTATTAATAAAAAAAATTTAAACAAAAATATATACACATATATGTAATTTTACATAATTACGTCATTTTATTAATTACAATTTGCGGGACCTGCCTGACAACCCAGGTCGAAAGTATAGGGAATTTAATTTGCTAGCACTATAGTTAACCCTATAACTTTCCAAGATACCATAAAACCTGTAGATGGGGGGTACTGTTTTACTTGGGAGACTTCGCTGGACACAAATATTAGTGTTTCAAAAAAGTAAAATGTATTACAACGATGGTATCGTCAGTGAAAGTGAGTTTTGTTGCATTTTTCACACACAAACGGCACTTACACTGACAATATTATTGTTGTGATACTTTTTACTGTTTTGAAACACAAATATTTGTGTTCAGCGAAGTCTCCTGAGTATAACAGTACCCCTCATGTACAGGTTTTATGGTGTTTTCAAAAGTTAGAGTAAAATATAAGGCCTGCGTTTCAGTTTTTTCACATTGAAATTCTCCAGATTGGTTACGTTGCCTTTGAGACTGTATGGAAGCCCTGGAATGAGAATTACCCCCATGATGGCATACCATTTGCAATAGTAGACAACCCAAGGTTTTGCAAATGGGGAATGTCCAGTCTTTTTTAGTAGCCACTTAGTCACAAACACTGCCCAAAATTGGCATTCAAATTAGTTTTTTGCATTTTTCACACTCAAACAAATATTAACGCTAACTTTGGCCAGTGTTTTTGACTAAGTGGCTACTAACAAAGATTGGACATACCCCACTTGCAATACCTTGGGTTGTCTACTATTGCAAATTATATGCCATCATGGGGTAATTCTCATTCCTGGGCTACCATACGGTCTCAAAGGCAACGTAACCAATCTGGCAAATTTCAATGTTAAAAAACTGAAAAATGTAACATGCTATATGTGACCCTGTAACTTCCCAAAACTCCATAAAACCTGTACATGGGGGGTACTGTTTTATACGTGAGACATCGCTGAATACAAATGTGTATTTTATTGCAGTAAAAGCAAACAGTATTATGAAATTCAGTTAGAATGTCACATTCTCTAAGTTTTTAATTTTTTATTCATATTAAATTGTTTCATACCTAAATATTTGATGTTAAAGGAAAGCCCTGTTTCCCCTGAATAAAATTATATATAATAAGTGTGGGTGCACATAATATGAACGGCGAATTACGCATGAACAGACTAATAGTGCAAATTCAAGTTTTTGTTTTGATCACAACGTGTACATTTGGCTCAGTCCTTAAGGGGGTTAAAGAGTACCGGCCACGGTATACACTACTATTGCAAATATAAAGTAAAAGGTTTTTTCACCATAAAAAGGCTATAAAGCTCTGAAAAACATGGGTGATTTTTTTTTTTTTACCTTCTCATGTGGTTATGAGGTATTGAATAATCTGTTATATTTTCAAATGAGATGCGGTGTCCCTTCAGGATTACTTTTTGTTTTGCACACAGCCAAGCTTCTGAATAAACACAGTTCATATTTAGCACACAGTTTAGCCACCGACAGTCAGGCTACATTCTTATGAATCTTGGCAAGCATAGAATGTGTAAATGACCGTGTTAGCATTGAGAAAGATTTCACTTTATGTCCTTAACTCTATTTGTGTGACAAGTGGAAAAAGTCAGTTTTCTATAAAAGGAATACAAAAAAAAAAATAATACTTTTCAAATACCACTGTGCACTAGAAAATGTTTGTGGCCTTCTCTGATAATTGCATTAAATAGTATGCAATGAACATTTAAACATTAAAGGAATACTTCAAGCACCATAACCACAACAGTGCACTGTAATTGTTATGGTACTTGGGAGTGTTATTTTGACGAATCATTCCTTATTGAGTGCCTATTCAAACATTTTGTTTATGGAAGGCAGGATTTTCTAGTGGCTGTCTGAGGGACTGTCTCTAGAGGTCTTAGTAGGCAGCAATGTAAACACTCTTTTCTCTGAAAATGCTGTGTTTACATTGAAAAGGCTACAGGGACAGGCTATAGACACGAGAAAAACTACATTAATCTGTAGTGGTTCTGGTGACTATAGTGTCCCTTTAAAAAAAAAAAAAAAAAGCTGGCTCCTAGGTTCCAAACAAATTTGTCAAGGCCAGGACTAGGGCTGCATAAACCAAGCGATTTTTAACTCCTAAACGAGAGGATCTTCGCCATTAGGCTAAAGTTGTTTTGGTATCTAAAGCATCTCTTTAACACCACAATGCAATCATTGCAGGTTTAAGGAGACAGTGACTCTTTACCTAGACCACTTCAATGAGATGAAGTGGCCTGGGTGCCTACAGTGTCCCTTTATAGAGTCACTTTTGCAAGTCTGACCGCTAAGTAAAACTTGGCTATTGAAAATTTCTGTATTTTTTTTAATCTAGAAGGCAAATGTACAATGTCGCAGTAGTTGCAAATTGTTTTTCCTTCATAAGATCACTTAAAATACACAAATATGTGCTGTAAACCTTTAGTAATAATGTCATCAGGGACTCTCCTATTAAATGTAAATGTTACATTGTATCACTTAAAGGATCAGAGACCTCCTGGCACCATAACTTAATTTATAACATTACGGTGCCCGGAGTGTTCCTCTAAACCAGGGGTAGTCAACCTTTTAATACCTAAAGCCCACTTTTGTATCTTTGTTGATGGTAACATTTCCTTATCGCCCACCAGTGCCGCAGTACCAACTTTATAGTGCAAGTATGATTTTTTTTTTTTTTCATTTTTAGAAAGGAGAAATATGTACTTAAATTTATCTATTTTTTTTCTATTTTGGATTCTACTTTTTTTTTTTTCTGTTGTATGTGTGAGGGGGCAGTGTGTGTTAGGGTTGCTGTGTGGGAGGTGTGTAGTGTGTGACAGGGCAGTCTGTGTGTGTGTAAAGGGTGCATAGGGTCTATGCTGTGTGTAGGTGGGTGAGATGTGAAAATCTTAGTGTCTCCCCCTCCCTTCTTCTTACCATTTACCAGGTAAGGGGGTACATAATGCTGCAAGCCCTGGTGGTCCAGTGGTGGCATGTTCACTTTATCCTGCAGCTTCTCCTGTCGTCCTGCGAGCACAGCACTGTATCAGAGCATTGCCATGGTTATGCACAGCAACAATCTGACCAGGCTGCTCGCGGGAGGAACACAGAGGTTCCCAGGCCCTTCCCTCCCTCTGCTGGAACGAAGTGCCACCGGGCCAGTGTGGAACATTTTTGATCTCCTCACCAGCCCGAGAGGGCTTACAGCAAGGCTGGCTCTGCATGGGCCGGCAGGGGAGATGAAAGGATCTTCTCTGTCGGCATTGGTCCATGGCCAACTAGGCCTACCCGTAGTTTTCTACAGAACCCACCACCGCCCACCTGAAATCCCAAAACGCCCACTAGTGGACGGTAGGGACCAGGTTGACTACCTATGCTCTAAATAGACATTTCCACATCTTCACTCTCTGTATATAACATATTTTCTATTTCAGGAAACCTATGAAAGTATACCAGGACCGTCCAAGATCACGTTCCTACTTCAAGCAGTTCGGAATGCCGGAGCTGCTGAGGAGGTATGTCGCAGTATATGTTTACATAGAAACTTCTATTTAACAGCATAAATAGTGTAATTGGTTTATTTTGTGTGATTTGGTACACGTATAACCTCCTTGGTCGTCCTGGCTTTTGTTTTGCTTTTTCGTCCTGTGTAAATGTTAATTATACACACTCTTCTGAAATCCTGCAAATGAAAATAGTGTTTATAAGTTTTGTTATACCAGGATTTCAAGCTTTGTAATTCCAGTATCTTGGTTTTATCAGCAGCATACATGATGAGCAGGTTTTATCTGTTATAGGTGTTGCTTTTGTTCTGTGTGATGGTGTTACTGAAAGGTCATTTTTGTGACCGGTATATTATGTGCATGGGATGTTTGGTAGATGCTGTGGATTTCATGGTTGCTTGGAGTGAATTGTGTAACTTATAGTATTGTAACCATGACAGTAATTGAAGTTACCGCTTTTAGCAATGACTGGTGTTCATTGTGATGATTGATGGTATTGTTGCGGAATGTAGCAGCCCTCCAAATGTGTTAAAGTAACTATCTTGATTTTCTATTTTTGTATTAGTCTTATATTTAAAAATCTAATGCTTTGCTATTATTGAATGTTTTAACCTATGGAAACGCATGTCTTGCAACTGATATACAAAATATTCTATTAAGGAGGTTATGGCTGAACAGCCAGGATGTAAGTTTTGGTCATCTTTGGTCTGGTAGACCGCTACTAAAGGCAGGCATAACCCTACAATATAAACATTTTAGATTGCAGGATTAATGGGACAGGCGCAGTGCACCCAGATCATTTAAGTGCCCCCATACATATTCTACATAGATTTTTTTTTTTTTTTTTCATATATCCTATGTATACCTAATGGAACATTAAGTGTCATTAAAATGAGGGGAGAACCACTTTTTTCACTTTCGCTTATAATAATTTTTAAATATCCATTAAAAAGGGCTCCAAACAGATTTACTTTCATGTCTTGATTGTTAAATTCCTCCTATATCCAGGATCTAAATAAATTTTAGGTAGTTCACTCTAACCCTATACCAACACCCCCTCCCCTAATGCTATCTTAACCCTATCCCTAAACACTAGCCGTATACCTGCCCTACACTTAAAACTCTTCACTATTCCTAACCCTAAAACATCAGTAATCCTTAGCGTAACCATACTCAAACCCAAACCCTGTCAGTAATGATATCAGGAGGTGGGTTTCCTAGTTAAAACATTAGAGAGCAGAATGTTTCCACCATCTACTGGCTGTTTTCGGCATTACAGGCATATCCCTGTAATGCTGCAACTCCAGCATTACATGCATTCAGCACTATTACAGTCTGCATAGGAGTGTGCTGAAAGACCCTTTCAGGGCTGGAGGTCTCCTTTGAGCACCTACCACTGCAAAAACGTATTTGTTTTCTCTGCATTTAAAGGGCTGTATGCGGATACAGCACATCGGTTAGATGAGAGACCTAGAATACCTAGTGTGACCTGAGTTAAACCTGCTCACACTGCATCAATAGGCATTTAAAATTGTTGTAGCATTGCCCACTTTAAGCGCTGTATACAGCCTATCTGTCAGTCTGGGGCCACTAAATGGGGAGACCCAGGCATCGATTGAAAATATTAAGACATTTCATGCTGACCTAACAGTTACACGGAGGATGGCAGGAAACGTCCAAATGTCGTGAAGGGGTTAAGGAATTAATTGCAGACTTTCTCAACTCAGAAAAGTTTGCAAATCATTTTACTCACCCAAATCAATTTGCATGGGAGCACATAGAAATAGAAACTGTAGACATAAAAATCTTGTGTCAACGGACTGTAGATTTCCTTACCATTCGTTTTTTTGGGGGGGTCTTTTCCCTTCACTTTTTCTCTTTTCTTTTAATTTTTAGGCCAGACAAATGGCAGCAGTACTGCTGCGTCGGCTTTTGTCATCCTCCTTTGAAGAAGTTTATCCATCCCTCCCTGCTGACGTCCAGAATGCCATCAGAAGTGAACTTCTACTTGTAATTCAGTTGGAAACTCAGTCCAGTATGAGGAAAAAGATCTGTGACATTGTTGCAGAATTGGCCAGAAATTTAATTGGTATGGGCATAAAACAAATTCATACTTTTATAAATTGTTTGAACTATGTGTGACAAATGGCTAGTGGCAAATAGTTTTCAGACTACTATGTTAATATCTTCACATTCTCTTTGCTATTTTTTTTCATCTTTAATATTAAATCTTCATAATCTCCATGCTAATTCATACATTTATTATATTTACATGGAGTGTCAGATCATGACCTTCATCTCTCTGACTCACCATAGGAACACTCTGGCCAGAGTCTGGGTGGTGTGAATTATACCTGGTGCGAAACCTTGCCCTTTTATTCTTCAACTGTTGTGCATTGTTATTGGCTTGTCTAGAAGAGAGCACATGCTTTATTGTACATTGCTGTGGAAGTCAAGCTTCCTCTCTCTTTGGAATTTAACAATTGCTATTAAACACTGACAGCTAGTTATGGCACTAAGACCAGTGGATTATCATAGCTGATTTATATACACCTGGAACACTGCAACTTCACGTATATTGGATGTTGCCTTTAGAACCATATCTGTGAAAAGCAAAATTGTATTTGTTGACACCCGAAATGTATCATTTAAAACTCATTAATCGGCAGCCTGATTTTTTTCTTTTGACATTATCGAACCTAAATAAAGGACACACTACTTTATAAAACAAAATAGTTATATCACCATAGGTTAGTATAACAAGCATATACATTGCTGTAATGCTGAACTTTTTCTTTTTAGTTATATGTATTGTACTATTCTCATTTGCTTACTCACTAGCCTGTCTAACAGTTTTGTAAAGCAATGTCTAAAAAAATCTTTTTAGTCTGGTTAGCTCAGCAAGTGTATGTCAGTGACTATTTTTAAAGGTTATGGTGACAATACAAACTATTTTTATTTTGTTTTTGGCTTATCTGTGTAGCTCAGAATAATAAACTTTGCCTTTATTACCCATGTTCTATTGCAACATTGAATAAAATAAAGGTTATTTATAATATATTATGTTTTTGGTGGTAAACCCTTATTTGTTTTTTTTGATTGTAAACATGAAATTGATTCCACAGGAGTGTAACTTCCTTGTCTTTATTGCTCACTACTTTGTTTCTCTAGATGATGATGGCAATAACCAGTGGCCTGAAGCATTAAAGTTCCTATTTGACTCTGTGAGCTCTCAGGATGTAGGCCTGCGAGAAGCTGCGCTTCACATATTCTGGTACAGTCCTTTCCAGTACAATGTTCTATAAGGGCACTTCTAAATTTTCAGGGCTTTAGGAAGATGTCCTAAGTAAAGCACTTTCTTACTCAAGTGTTTCTGTTCTGTCACCTTAAAGGACCACTCTAGGCACCCAGACCACTTCAGCTTAATGAAGTGGTCTAGGTACACGGTCCAGCTACGGTTAACCCATTTTTTTTTTTTTTTTATAAAAAATGTGTTTAATTGCAATATGTTTATAAATGGGTTAATCCAGCCCTCAAATCCTCTAGTGGCTGTCTCATTGACAGCCGCTAGAGGCGCTTGTGTGATTCTCACTGTGAAAATCACAGTGAGGACACGCAAGCGTCTATAGACCGGCTGAATGCGCACGCAGCCAGCCGAAAGGGAGGAGAGGAGGAGGATCGGAGCCAGAGAGCCCCCCGCCCAGCACTGGAGAAAGGTAAGTTTTAACCCCTTTCCTCTCCCCAGAGCCCGGCGGGAGGGGGACCCTGAGGGTGGGGGCACCCTCAGGGCACTATAGTGCCAGGAAAACGAGTATGTTTTCCTGGCACTATAGTGGTCCTTTAACTAAATCTTCATCAGCAGTAGAATTTTTTTTGTACTTGTAATTTTCTTATAAAAGTTATTCTAAGAAGGAAAATAATTGTGAGAATACTCAATGTGTTGTATGTATTTATTTAGAACAGAACACATGCCCATTCTTTCTAAATGCATCTGTCGTGTATTTAAATTTTTTTCCCAGGAACTTCCCAGGCATATTTGGAAATCAACAGCAACATTACCTTGATGTCATCAAAAGGATGCTTGTGCAATGCATGCAGGACCAGAACATTCCTGTGGTAATTCATATATCTTGTTTTATTTTATAGGATATAGAGAGATCATGATTCTCATTTTTAAATAGCTAGTTATTGAAGTTCACTATAGTATTGACAGGCAACAGGACAGACTTTAATCTCAAACATTTAAAAAAAATTGATCTTATTTCTTTAACAGATCAGGACTTTGTCTGCTCGGGCAGCTGGTGCATTTGTACTGGCCAATGAGCACAACATTCCTCTGCTGAAGCATTTTGCAGACTTGTTACCTGGCATTTTGCAGGTGAGTGTTAAGGACATTAAAGAACTCTCTTGTTTTGGGATTTTTTTTTTCTTCTTTACACTGAATTCTACTCTATACAGTTTATTTGTGGATTTCAAAACCATTCCAATGTCATCAAAATCATGTGAGTGCCATTGAGCATACTTTTTTCCCCCCTTCCTATTGATTGGTTTTTTTTTTTCCTTCTCCTTTTTGCATTAGTCTGTTAATGAATCCTGTTATCAGAATGACGACTCTGTTCTGAAATCACTGGTTGAGATTGCAGACACTGTTCCAAAGTTTTTGAGACCAAATCTAGAGGCAACATTACAGCTGAGTTTGAAGGTACACCACTTGATTGAAAGAGCAAAAAATTATGATTGTTTTACACTGAAGCTGACAAAATATTCTGTCATGTACAGCTGTGTGCAGACCACTCTTTGAGCAATATGCAGCGGCAACTTGCTTTGGAAGTTATTGTGACCCTTTCTGAGACTGCTGCAGCAATGCTGAGGAAACATACAGCCATTGTTGCCCAAGCCAGTAAGTATGTCATTTTATTGTTTACATTAAGGGGGAAAAAAAAGTTTAAAATCGCCTATAAATGAACTTATATTTCATAAGATGTAGTTTTCTTTTAAATTTATAGTAAAGAGTTCGCGAACTGCATCCTAACCCAGTTCACAGTAGCTAAACACAAGGCAAACATTGTAGACAAGAAGGAGAAATATAAACATTTCAGTTCTCCACTATATGCTTTCTCTATGCTGGCTGCCAAATTCAAAGGACATGGCTTATAACAGTGATTTACATGGAACTAAGATGGAGGCATCCAGTTGCAGAACAGATGTGTGGATTTATACATTCTGTTTTCTTTTTCACAGCTCACTAAAACATAATTTTTAAATATAAGTAAAAGTAAGCATCAATTTACTGGAATGTGAACGTTTCTCAAAAGTACAGTTTCTGAAATGCAGAATTAATCAAATGTAATCCTTTTCCTAATATGTGTTAAAGCAGCACTGTCATGCTGAATCCCATTTTTTTTTAACCCGCCTCCACTACATCTAATTGACCCCTAGTCGCCCCCCATATTACCTATTTTTTATTCTTGATTCAGGGCGCTGCCATCTTTGTGTGGGTAGATGAAGTCCCTGTGGGATACGTCATCTGCCCACACTAGATAGCGCTGAGATTCCCGCACATACCCAGTGAAACACTGAACAATCAGAAAGACGAATAAATGGATAGAAATCTCAGACGAACAAACTAACACTGTGTATCAGTGTTCGTTTAGTTTATTACAAGGAGGGAGCTACCGGCACGCAGCTCCCTCTTTGTAATATGTAAAGATAGAAGCGTCAGGGAGCAGTGCTCCCCGCCACTTCCTAAGCCCCCCAGGTTCCCCCTCACTCTATGGGGGTCAGTATGAGGGGCATGTCTACTAAACAGTGAGCAGCCTTTATAAGCCTTCCCCGCTCTGCGGAACTCAGTCTGCACGGAGCCCTCCATGGGTGAAGATGGATTATTTTTTTGCGGTCGTTTTTTTTTTGTTTGTTTTTTGTTTTTGTTTTGTTTTGTTTTTGTGCTTGGGTTTATTTTATTTTAAGTTCTGGTATGATGGTTTATTTGGCCTTTTTTGGGGCTGAAAAATTAAGATTTTAGAATACAGACGACGTTGAATGGTAAGTTTTAATTTTACTTTACAGGTTAGTAATTTTATTCCCCCTCACTATTTTTTAGGGTGAGGGGGGTAGGTAGGGGACTTTTTATTTGGGTGGGGGGGGGTGAGTGACTAGGGGCTTGGGGACCCCCAGTCACCTTTGAGGGGGTAGGTGTGTGTGTCCCCCCCCCCGTCCTCTCATTATCACTATGACCCCACCCACCGCCTGGGGGGGGGAGGACAATAGGCTCCCCCCATTATCATTATGGCCCACACCTGCCGCCCAGGGGTGGGGGGAGGACAGTAGGTCCACCCTCATTATCACTATGGCCCCCCTCCTCCCGTCATTATCATTATGGCCCCCACCCGCCAATTTAGGTCTTTCAGCCTTTTCGGAGATAACTCCCTGATACCGTGGGAATTAGGGAGTTATCTACTAAGCGGCTGCAAGATGCAGCCACAGCACGAATAGGATCGGAGTTTCATTCATTCAAATGAAATTCCGATACGAACAAAGTGCCGAATTGCGTTCTAAAACAAACGAAACATACTGTTCTCATTCAGTTAGAATGCAATTCGGCAGTTTCGTCTAAAATGACAGGAAGCATCGTGGGAACACAGAGGAAAGGTAAGAATCATGGGAAAATTGCTCTGACCAGCGGAAATGAAACACACTTTGCTCCTCCGCTGGTCAGAGCTGGTCAAGCGGAGGAAACCTCCATTAGGCAAAGAGTCCCTACTTTGTCTTATTATTTTAAAGAAAACAGGAAGAAAAGAAGAACAGATCCTGAGAGAGGGGGAGAAGAGGAAGAGATTGAGGAAAGCTAAGTTCAGCATGACAGTGCCGCTTTAATATTTAAAGGGACACCCCACTGCCCAAATACATCACCATTTAGTACTTATACCCTGATGCACAATTAAATGCATGCATGTTTGCATTTGTTAATAAGTGGTATATCTAAAACCAGCTTGCAAAAGCTGTTGCCTAAAAGTGGAACTTCAGTTATCTTGAGTGTTACATTGGGACATAGTTCTACGTCTAAGGAATACAAGTGTGCAAAATGTTTATATATGCACATGTACCTTGTAATATGTTCTAGAGATCAGTTTTTGCTCCCAGGAGCTAGGACCGTCCTGAAATGAGATTTTTGTAAACATGCATATAAACAAAATTTGTTGTACACCCTGATAGATATTTTATGTATAGATAACCCCCCTCACCCCCACTCCCAAATTCAGATAGCCAGCAATTATCACACTACAGTTTCCATGATCATCATTGTATCAAGGTATTTGTAGCTCAGTAAATAGAAAGTTGCAGGTTAGGCACCCTGTTGTTCAGAAAGAAAAAGTAATGTTTAATGAAATTGTAATACATATAAATCAGAGGCGAAATCAAATCAAAGATTATGTAATTCCCTATTAAAGTCCTGATCTGAAAAGGTTTGTAAAGAAATGTGCTATATAGAAAAGGCTTAGTCAGCTATTCTCAACCACTACTGTTTTATTAACACATGAAAAACGCTATGTGCGGTGTATGCTATTGTGTGTGACTTTGTAATACAGTTGCCAGAATATGGCTTCCTTTTTTTTTTTTTTTTTTTTCAATTCATAGCAACAAGGACCAAAACATCAGAACCACTTTATTTGTATTTTTATTATTATTATTATTATTTTATTTTTTTTTTACTAATGGCATGTCACATAGGTACTTCCAAATCCATGTTTTAAAGTGTTTCTACAAATTTTGTGTTTGAATCAAAAGCAATATTTTCTATGTGGTGGGTAAAATAATGAAATTAAAGCTCCTGGGTTTTTTTTTTTTAGTCCCTCAGATGTTAGCCATGATGGTTGACTTAGAGGAGGATGAAGACTGGTCAAATGCAGATGAACTAGAAGATGATGATTTTGACAGGTACTGTCTTGTAATGAGTTTCTCAGAACCAATAGTTATATACATGGTATTAATAATCCGTACAATTTGAGGGCCTATTTGCAATACTTGGTCCATTCTTCCCCTCACCCCCTCCATACAGCACTAAACAGATCTTTAGAGTTTAAAGTGTTATTCCAGAGCTGCTGTTTGAGTTCATTACTTGACACAGGGCTAGATTACATTTGATTAATAAGTGTTACCAATGCTCTGATTAGATTTCTAACTTCATATAGACTTTAATGGAGTTGGAAATGTAATCAGACAGAGCAATGGTAAAGCTTACAAATCAAATGTAATTTATCTAGCCCTTACTGTTTTGCATATAATATTTTTCTAGGACCATTCTTTATTTGGATAATTGGTAAAAAAAAAAAAAAAAAATGTTAAATATGATTGTTACATAGAATTAAATTAATATCAACAATATATTATTCTACAGTCATATTTACAGATTTTTATTTATATTGTTTTTTTTAAAGTTATTTTCTGTCCAATTTTGGTGTTACTTTCAATAAAGTTGTGGTTATTTTATTGGCTTGTAGTTTTTAATATTGGATTCATTTAAAAAAGTCTAATATTAATAAAATTATAGAAAAAAAACTTTTTTAAATTCATTTGGGGGAAAAAGTCCTTTTTGGTTTCGGGCCAAGGGCATCCTGAATTTTCGGTTTCGGCCCAGAATTTTCATATCGGTGCATCCCTGATAAATATATATATTTTTTATTTAGAGATATACAAGATGCCAAAGCATTTTGTCTACTGGACTAATACGGCTAATCCAATCTACAGTGTGTGTGTGTGTGTATGTGTGTGTGTGTGTGTATGTGTATATATGTGTGTGTATGTGTATATATGTGTGTGTATGTGTATATATGTGTGTGTGTGTGTATATGTGTGTGTGTGTGTGTGTGTGTATATGTGTGTGTGTGTGTGTGTATATATGTGTGTGTGTGTGTGTGTTGAGGGGAGGGGGTGTTGCACACCCCAGAGCTAACTTGTTTTACCCAGCCAGTGTAGGGTTGGGTGGGTGTACTGTTGGATGGGCAGCGCTTCGGCGTCCGTGAGGGGAGTACTGTGCGTACTGTTAGATTTTTTTACTGTAGATTATAAGTGTAAGGAGAAAAGAACATGAACAGCAATAACAAAAGGGTGCTTGGGTGGTCGGCGTAGGCTTCAGGTCGTGGTACTGTTGGGCAGTCCCAGTGTGGCAAGTAAGGCAGGACCCTCTTCCGGATCAGAGACCTTATAGGATTTATCATCATTGGTTACCCAGAGCAATCTCGGGGTTGCCCACCTGTAAGTGAGTCTTACTGTTTGTGGGGGGGTGGTTATGGGCTGCATGCTCTTGCGCCATGATAGTGCATCTGTGCTCAGGTCTTGGAAGGCGATTTGGTGCGTCTCAAAGTTGTATGGCGTGTTTCCATTAATAGCAGCAAAGAGGGCTATTTTATCTGTAAGAGTTTGGCATTGTAAAATGAGGTTGCGGGGTGCCGCCTTTGGCGCTTGCGGTGATTTGGCAATGCGATATACGCCATGGTGGGTAGGAGCGAGGCCACTAAACACCTTATAAAATGGGGAAGTTCCCCCTGCAATACAGATTCTGTTCCCCCTGATCTTAACATTCTTCCTCTTACCCCTGTCATCTAGCAGATTAATTTGCCTGGTGATAGTGGTCTGTGTGGCTTGCATCTGGGTAACTATCTTTCAGTGCGATTAGGTTTTGTTGCAGGTCTCTCACTTCCTCTTCTGTGGCTTGAGTGTGGGCTGTCACCACCTGTACGTCTGCCTGCCACATTTGCTGTAAGTTGCGTTGGAGTCTAGCCAGCATGTTCTGAATATCCTGCTTGGTCACTGAGGCTGATTCTCCTGTGGTCTGTGGGTTTTCTCAGTCCGTGTTGGCTGTGGCCATGCTGGGCATGGAGTTCTCATCTTCAGAACTCGTGGGTGAGGCTTCCATTGCGGGTCCGTGCCGGTGGAGAGGACTGTAGCATGATGCCTATGTCCCGTTGTGGCGTGGATGCGCCTGGGGTCTACATTTCTTCCGAAGTGTATAAATCGAACTCTGCGTGCTGTGAGCGCGTCTTTAGCCTCGCTGCTAACTCTCCGACCAGGTCCTGTTGCTGCTAACTCTCCGACCAGGTCCTGTTGGCGGGCGCTCACACGGTAGGCCCCAGGCCTTTAATGCAGAGTTTAGTGCCGGGGTTTGGAAGAAATGCATCTGCAGATTCAGCAGAGTTCCCTGAGTCAATGTCTGTAGCCAGTTTTGCCTATAGCGCTTGGATTCTGCTTTAGGTTATCGGAGCTATTGGAAATGGCGGCTGCTTCATTGCGCTGCAGGCTGCGCCCACTATGCGGAACCTTTTATGATATAGATATATAGATCTCTTACTGTGTACTTTTTTTCTTGCAGTAATGCAGTCGCAGGTGAAAGTGCTTTAGACCGAATGGCATGTGGCCTGGGTGGGAAAATTGTCCTGCCAATGATTAAGGAGCATATCATGCAAATGCTGCAAAACCGTAAGTGTTGTTTTTTTTTTTTTTGTTTAATTTACATGTACATATATATATATATATTGTGCTGAGTACTTTCCCTTGAACATAGCTTGACTTCTGTTTTCTGTTTGGTGCTTGGCTCAGTGACATTGTAGGGATGTATTTTATGATGGGTAATTTATTCAGAGCTCACCGTTTAATCAAATATTTATTTGGATGGGAGCACTTTTTAATTTAATTGCTGTTTCACCATCTCAAAAAAGCTCTGGGTTGAATTATAAAAATAGGACCCTTGGGAAATAAAACCTTTTTATTTTTAGTCTAAATAAAAGTTTGAAAAAATTGAATTGGAAACTGATAAAATATCTCAAGAGCCGTGCTGCCCATGCCTAGTATCACATGTCTGTGAGTACATACATTTATTTCTTTGTGTTGATTTACAGCTGACTGGAAGTACAGGCATGCTGGTCTGATGGCATTATCCGCCATTGGTGAAGGTTGTCACCAGCAAATGGAGGGTATTCTCAATGAGATGGTCAACTTCGTTTTACTTTTTTTGCAAGATCCTGTAAGTCATTTGTTTATTTTGTTACCTTATTCTCCACATTAAAATAGTGCGTATTAATATTTTACAACCGTGCAGCAATCTTGATCCAGTGGTGAAGTTATTTGAGCAGCTGTGCTAATATGCTGATCAGTACCACGTTATTTTATTCAATAAAACATAGCATACATTTATAAAATAGGATTTAATCTGAATATCTAGATTTTTTTTTTTTTTTTCAGCATCCCAGAGTTCGTTACGCTGCCTGTAATGCTATTGGACAGATGGCAACTGACTTTGCACCAGCTTTTCAAAAAAAATTTCATGAGAAGGTAAGAAACCACCTTATTTAAATTGGCTACAGTTACCCAACTGTTGCCAACATTTCCCTCAACATAAAACCCAATGGAGTTTTCTTCTCCTTTGACCGGGCAGGAGAGGTGAATCCTACGAACATAGTTTGTAAAAGATTAGCCGTTCTACTTTCTCCTCCAAATGGAGTATGACTAGAACCCCCTGAACCTAATAAAATAAAGTTCTATAAAGTTTGTGTTTTAGTAGTCTAGATTGACTATCTTATAGCGTAAACTAATTAAGCACAGTAATATAAATCAGGTAGTCTTATTTTTCTCAATTTTCTGTACCTGTGCCAAGTAGATTCTTTATTTGTTCATTACAGGTTATTGCCAGTCTGCTGCAGACAATGGAGGACCAAGGAAATCCCCGTGTTCAGGCTCATGCAGCTGCTGCTCTCATCAATTTTACTGAAGACTGTCCGCAGACCCTTCTTATTCCATATCTGGATAACCTAGTAAAGCACTTACATGCCATTATGGTGGTCAAACTGCAAGAGGTAATCTCAACCAAATATTTAACTAAAATTAAAAACACAGAAATTTCCTCTGGCCTCCCTTATGTATTTTGTGTTTGGCCACTCTGCATTTAAAATAAGTGATAAGCATTGTATTTGAGACCTAATGTACATGACTATATGCCATGTCACCTCTATATGAGCAGACAAAATAGCAAATGACCATTGAGCACAAGAGAATTTGGAATTATTCAAATTAAGTTCACCTAAAAAGTGTCAGCAAGTGTTACTATGATTATGGAATTTGTTATTTATCTGTTTAATATTGTTAAGACAGGTATTAATCATGAAAACTCACTGTTCTTTTTCCAGAAGTACATTCCATACAGACGTTTGGCTTATATTTTTATTTGCTTAATTTTTGTGTTAATAGTGTCTACCTTTTCATAAACAAACTTTAAGAAAATCTCAATTTTAATCAGATTTTGTCCTTCCAAAACAATTGTTTTTGGTATTGTGTTTTTTTTAGTTAGGCATTTGTTTTTAGTCAAGTGAGCCTTAAAATATCACCTGGTGTAATTGGAAAAATAATGCAGTATTTGTCTTCTATTTTCTGTCATCCAATATCATTCCAGTCATTTAAATCATTATGGTCCTTCTGTGGTTTTTTTTTTTTTTTTCTTTCATGCAGAAGATATTACAAATACTTGACATACTGTATTAAAGATGGCATGATTGTATCGCCATTCTTAAAGGGATACTATAGGCATCAACCCAACTTTACCTTAATGAAGCAGTTTTGATGTGTAGAAAGAACATGCCCCTGCAGTCTCACAATTCTTTATAATTTGAGTTTTCTTTGTTTACTCACACAGCCTCCATAAAAAAAGTTTTTTTTCAATCAGATCTGAACTTGACTCTTAACTCTGTAAATTAAACTGTAATCACGCACCGGAGGATCTAGCAGGCCATTAATAGCGCAGGAGATAAGAAATGACAAATTCTACACACTGTGCAATAAAGGAAGTTTAAACATTAGATCTTTCTTTAGAGGAAGAGCTTAGGAAGGATAAGTTACAAGCATGGATGTGTGGCTGTATAAACGAATTGATTTTATCCCTAAATGGCAGAGCATTGTATTGTTTTGATCTTTATACTAGAACTGCTTCATTAAGCTAGTTTCGTTTTGGTGCCTATAGTATCACTTTAATTCTTAAATCATGGTGTTTGAGTGGTCCTATGGGATATAGCTGTTGTTGCCACATAAGTATAGTTTGTTTTGTGTTTTTTTTTTTTTTTTTGGCTATTTAACCCCTTAAGGACACATGACATGTGATGTCATGATTCCCTTTTATTCCAGAAGTTTGGTTCTTAAGGGGTTAAAGGACCTGCTACTGCAGTTTAAATTGTCTTGTGTTGGTACTATTTTCTGAAAACTTGTTTACCTATAATATATCAATGTTCTCTTGCAAAATGTTTGAAAAACTGAACTCTTCTAATAGAGTATATTTGTTTTGCAGCTTATTCAGAAGGGTACAAAGCTGGTACTGGAACAAGTTGTGACTTCAATAGCATCTGTAGCTGATACCGCTGAAGAAAAATTTGTTCCCTATTATGATTTGTTTATGCCATCCCTGAAGCACATTGTGGAAAATGCTGTGCAGAAAGAACTCCGGCTTCTAAGAGGGAAGACAATTGAGTGCATCAGTCTAATTGGTTTGGCTGTTGGCAAGGAGAAGGTAAGAGTTTTGGTTATGGCAAAATGCTAAATAACACAACTATAAAAAATTACTGTAAGTGTTAGATTTGAGCCATTTAGAGAAAAGCACTACATCTCTTAAACCTAATTTGCTCTGTTTCATATTGAACGCTGTTTTTTATTTCACTCTCTATTTCAGTTCATGCAAGATGCTTCTGATGTTATGCAGCTGCTGCTGAAGACACAGACTGACTTCAGTGACTTGGAAGATGATGATCCACAGGTCTGTTTCTTGACAGAACTATAAATAGTAGCTATTTTCCCTGCTAGAGGAGTGCATGTTTGATGCACTCGGCAGGGTTTATTTTTAAAATACTTTTGGGCCGTGAGGAGTAATTTGTCTGGAAAGAAAAACCTGAAATTCTTTGGAGCAATAATGTAATCAGCCTCTGTGTCTTTTTTTTGCTGAGAGTTGCTTTTTTTTTTCCCGGATGTGGCCCTGTAGATATATAAAAAGCTAAATATTTAAAATCCTTCTCCTTAAGTTGAGTTGTGCAGTTTGAAGAAAAAAAATAAATTAAGAAAGAAAAAGGCATATTTCTGTACTTGAGCAGAGTGGGCAATATCTACATTTTAAACATGCATTGTATTTAATAACCGATGTCTTATTTTATTTAAAAATTCTTTAGATTTCATATATGATCTCTGCTTGGGCACGAATGTGCAAAATTCTGGGCAAAGAGTTTCAGCAATACCTTCCTGTGGTCATGGGACCGCTAATGAAAACTGCATCTATTAAGCCTGAGGTGGCTCTTCTGGACAGTAAGTATATTATCCAAATTTTCTCCTTGATCCCCTTGTGTTCTCAACATCCCTATAGCAGCCAGCATTAAATCATCACCACAGTATTATTTAACCAAGGGCTTGAAATTTCAACGCCTATGCCACTAGCCAGACAGAAAAGTGACTGATTAATGCAAGCCTTGGAGGGTCTCTGTCAAAATAACAGGGGGATTTCTACTTGCCAGGCTGAATTTTCACTTGCAAGTAGGGTTGACATTTTAAGCCCTTCTTTAACCCTTTCTTCAGAAAGTTTTTTTTTTTTTTGTTTGTGTTTTTTTAACTATCTAAATAAGGATTGGCATTGTTGCTGTTTTTACACAGATTTCAGTTTCTCATTAAGGGCATTGTGTGTGTTTCGTATCACTCATTTAAAATTTTAAAGTGCTGCAGAATGTTTGTCCTATAAATGCTTAAATATTGTGTGTGTGTGTGTGTGTGTGTGTTAGATATAATAAAATCTTTGCTTCTATGCCTGATAGAATACAACTTAGTCTTTGCATATCTCATTAAAGTAACTTGACACCAATCACAAAAACAGTTTTTTTTTTGTTTTTTTTGTTTTTTTTTTTGTTTTTTTTATAAACAGTTTGTAAAAATTAAATACATTGGGTGTGATTTATCAATGTGTCATGATAAGAAATATTGTGCAAAGATTTAAAAATAAAAAAGTCACCAGTGGATATGGCTGCTGGTTCACAGACTTCCATGGTGATTGCTGTATTTTTAGTACTTTGCTCCAGTTTTATTTATTTATTTATTTATTTTTTACCTGATACTTTGATAGATTTCAACAAGTGAGTACATTTGCATTAAAATTCAAATACATTTTTAAGGAAAAACTAAAAAGTTATGACATTGTGTGTCTTCATGGTATCCATGCTTAATTAAAATTAGATTTATTTTTTACCTCCCTTAGCACAAGATATGGAGAGTATGAGCGATGACGACGGCTGGGAATTTGTTAATCTGGGAGATCAACAGAGTTTTGGAATCAAGACTGCCGGACTTGAAGAAAAGGCAACTGCATGTCAGATGTTGGTGGGTCTCCCAAGAATTCTAAAATATATAACCTTTAAACAAGTTTTAAGCGTTATTTTTTACTGTTTTTACACATTTAGTCACATGGGACTATATCTTACAACTTGTTGTTCACTGACTGTTAGAAGAACCACTCAAAATCGGTTTCCTTCCGCTTAACCAAAACTATATATGTAATGAAGCCATTTTAACGGGGAACAATTGAAATGTGTCTAGGAAAGACCCATTTCACTACATTAAAGGAGCACTCTAAATACCATACAGTAATCATGGTGACAGGGATTTCCTCCCACCATTCCTTGTTAAAGGGTCGAACCATTTGTGAACAGATTGGCACTTACCTGAGTCCCACAGACACCTGCACTAATTCCAGTTTTCTCCATACTGTTAAATCCGAAGTGTGGATTAATCTTTAACTAAGTACATTTTGTGCACGTTTTCAGATTGTCTGGCAGCATCTGTTGACACTCTCAGCCGATCACAAACTTGATGTAGCTAAAGAGAAGAGAAGCTTCTCTCCTTCAGCTGTAGGACGGCACCAGATGCTTGCAGAAGGCTGCTGTCTTTATGGTGCTACTTAAATAACGTTTTAGTTTTCCTTATTAAGATGACCTTTTAATATTGTATATTTTGGGGGAGTGAATGTTATATAATGCATCAACATTGTTAGTGTCACCAAGAACTTAAATGAGGTTGTGTTCTTGCAAATTTTTTTCCTTTTTTCAAAGTTGCCAATGTTTGCTGAACTTCATAATTCTTTTTTTTCTTGTTAGGTTTGTTATGCCAAGGAACTAAAAGAAGGGTTTGCTGATTACACAGAACAAGTTGTGAAGCTAATGGTCCCGTTGCTTAAATTTTATTTTCATGATGATATCCTTTGTCTCCTCAAAATTTTAATTGTACTTTAAAATGTATTGTTGATGTTTTTGTTTTAAACCTGTTGTTCTCATTTGAAAAGAGGCATATTGACCGTAGTACATGCTCCCATTGCATGAAATAAGCATTTTCCTGACATATGGTGGCAGTACAATAGGGATGTACTCTTCTCTCGGGACAAGCATCTGAAATAAATATTTAACATAAAAAGTTCCTCCCCTTACCAGGTATAAGAGACCAAACCAGCCCTGTGACCTCAGTTCTCTTTCTTGTTCCATCAGGAATGGATGGCATCTGGAATGAGATGGTGAGGGTTGCTGCCAGGGGGATCCGGTCTGATAGCCTCCCGGGTGGAGAGCTGAATGGCCAGCAAGCATCCTGCAGGATTACGGGGCAGATATGGTAAGCCTGCTTTATGCCGAGTGCAGTCACCGGCGAAGCAGGGAAGCGGTCTCTAGTGGCAGCAAATCACTACCCGCCGGAGCCGCATGCGCATGGCGGTGGAATGCACGCCCGGGTGGTTATGCGTTCCACCGGAGTTCCGACCGCGCTATGAGCAGTCTGAACTCCCCGAAATGGCACCAGATTTTAATCGGATCTGCCTATTTATGCTGTGCAGATCTTACTGTCAGAATGGAGTTTGGCAGTGAAGGTCTCCCGTGTCACCAGCCCCCCCACACAGGTCAGAGGTTTTAGAGGTAAAGATTCTTTAGGTCTCTAATCTTTAAAACTCTCTATTTTTGTTTCTACAAATATGGTTTATTTTCCTATGTATTGCAGATATGTCTAGTCCTGTTGCTACTGATAATATGGATAAAGACAAAGTGCCTGCACCTGCTTCTAAAAAAGCCAGTTCCAAAGCTAAACATCTCTGTTGTAGTGAATGCTCCACTCCTTTACCAGATGGTTTTAAAAGGAAAGTCTGTAATATTTGCTCTTCTTTGACGCTAGAAAAATCCAAGCAACAAGAGATGAAATCTTTTTTTCTTAGTTTCAGGATAACCTGGCCCAGTCTTTTGAGTCTTTTAAAGAGCCTGCACACACTTCTCCTGTAAAAGCTACTAAACAGAAGTCTAAAAGGAAGAGAACACCGTCTAGTTCAGAACTATCCTTGGGTGAATGTTCTTTTTCTTATTCAGAAGTGTCTAGCGACTTCTGTTACTGAGGTTGCTTTTCCTCATGATGAATATATAAATGGCAATAATAATAATAATTGAGAAAATTTATTAAAGAAGTTAATGTTATCTTTTCTGATGAAACGGTAGACAAATCCAAGGGTAAAGCACTTCCAGTCCAACAAAAAATGCTGGATTTGATATTTAGAGAATGGAAGAACCCTGAGAAAAAGGGCTTTTATCTCCAGACATTTTAAAAGTATTGTTAAAATGGAGGAGGAAGATAAATGGGAAGAATTGCCGGTAGTTGATGTACAAGTGGCTTAATTGTCTAAAAAAAAAAAAAACTACCATACCTATTGGTGAAGTTTCTGGTCTGAAAGACCCTATGGATAAGAGGGCTGAAACTTCCAGCAGAAGGGCTTATCAGGCTGCAGGTTTTCAGGCTAAAGCAGCATTAGCCGGGGCTTCAGTGTGAGAGCTCAGAATCTTTGGCTTAACACTTTGGAAGATGGTCTGGGTGATAACCAAGACAAAGGCCTTTCCCTCCTGTTCCAAAATGTAAGGTTGTCTAATGAGTACCTTATGGATATTATCACAGAGGTGATTAAGCTTTCGGCTTGTGTCATGGGTTTGACATCTGTGGCCTGAAGGGCACTGTGGCTTAAGGCCTGGACAGCAGACACTGCATCAAAATCTGCAGTATGTGAGCTGCCGTTGGAGAAGAAAAAGTTGTTTTGTTCTCCTTTAGAAGAGTTAATCTGACAGATGTCGGAAACCAAGAAGGCCCTGCCTCAAGACAGGAAACCCAGGTAAAGAAATTTCCAGTTCAAAAACCGTAGGAGCTTTCAAGAAAAACCCATGTTTTTTTTGTCAACAAAGGAAAGATCCAAGATTTGACACACAAAAAGACAATAAGTCTGACAGAAACAAAAGTTTCTGACGCCATCAGAGTGGGCGGAAGGTTGCAAGGTTTTGTTCACAGATGGAGGGAGACCACTACAACTCCATGGATTCTGAATCTGGTGCAAAAAGGATACCGAATAAAATTTAGATGTTCCAAGACCAAGTTTCCTTGTCTCCTCCTACCGGTCAAAGTTAAAAAACCAAGCCATTTTTTCTGCCACGGTCTCCCTGTTAAGAAAAGGTGTGGTAGAAAGGATTCCAACCTCCCAAGTATATCAGGGTGTATACTCCCGGTTGTTCCTAGTCCCAAAACCAGACATGTGTCTTCGTCCAATCTTGGATCTAAAAAACCTGAAGAAGCTCATTCCTTACCAACATTTCAGAATGGAGACTATAGCGTCTGTCACTCATATCCTTCGAAATATCCATATTCCTATGGATGGGAAATCAAGAAAATACCTGAGGTTTGTTATAAGGAAAGGGGAAAATGTCCATTTCCAATTCAGAGCCCTTCCATTCGGGCTAGCTTTAGCACCCATGATTTTTACAAAGGTCCTCACACCTGTCACAGCTTTTTTTGAGGATGCAAGGAATCACAGTAGTACCTTACTTGGACGACTGGTTAATAAAGGCAGACACAAGAGGCGCTCTATAATCAGATGTTGCCTATACACTAGAAATCCTGGAAGAACATGGTTGGATTATCAACCTAGAAAAATCACACCGTACCCCTACAAGGTCTATCCTGTTTCTAGGGTTTTTGATCAAGTCAGACACTCTGTCGGTTCATCTGACAAGAGAAAAAAGATAAAGATTTTAATTAAAAAACCTTCTTCTGATGTCAGATTGTTCGGCGAGGAAAGCCATGCATGTTTTAGGTCATCTGACCTCTACAATCCCGGCAGTAAAATGGGCCAGAGCAGAATCAAGGCCCTTACACTGGGAAATTCTTGTCCAATGGTCAAAGAAGGAAGAAGATTTGGATGCATTAATGAGTATATCAGGTCATACAAAAGAAAAACTCTTAGTGGCTAGAGGAAAAATTCATTACAGAGGGCCTGTCTTTTCATCAAAAATCTTGGATTGTGATTTCTACAGATGCTTCAAATACAGGTTGGGGAGCTCACCTCCTGTTTCACTTAAGACAAGGTGGTCAAAAAAGGAAACAAAGGAATCTTCAAATTTCAAGGAGTTGTTGGCAGTACTCTACGCTCTTCAGCAGTTCAAGGATTTCACTGTTTTCCTTCTTGGGATTTGTCTTTAGTTTTGAGATCTGTGTACTCAGCCTTTCGAACCTTTAGAAGAAGCTTCATTGAAGAATATGTCCCTGAAGACCGTGTTTTTGGTGGCCATTACTTTGGCTAAGAGGATAGGGGAACTCCAGGCCCTTTCTTCCTCTCCTGACTTTACAAAATTTCTTCTGGATAAAGTAGTTATGTACCCTAAGCCTTCCTTTCTTCCGAAAGTCATCTCCAAGGTTATCAACCAACCTATTTTTCTTCCTTCCTTTAATGGTCCATCTATGCCAGATTGGGAATTTGATTGGAGCCAACTAGATGTTGGTAGGTCTCTGAAAATCTACTTGGACCGCTCCTCTGCGTATAGGGTGACTGATCATCTATTTGTAATTTCTTTGGAAAATTTAAGGACCAAGTTGCCTCCAAGGCCTCTTTGGCAAGATGGCTGGTGGATACTATTAAATTGGCTTATTCTACCTCGAATCTACCTCTGCCTGCCCCCTTGAAAGCACATTCTACTAGAGCCATGGCTGCTTCTTGGGCCGAAAAAGCGTTTGCCTCTCCGGAAGATATATGCAAGGCGGCTACCTGGTCTTCTTTCAACACTTTTGTCAAACATTACAGGCTAGACGTATTCTCTGCCTCTGACGCTGATTTTGGGCACAAGGTGTTACAAGCTGTTATTGCCTAAATTCCTGCCCTTAGTCTGGGATCTCGATATATCCCTATTGAACTGCCACCATATGTCAGGAAAAACTGTAATTTTACTCACCGTAAATTCCCTTTTCCTTAATATGGTGGCAGTAAATCAATCCCTCCCTTTATGTATATATATACATTTTTGGGGTGTTCTTGGTACGTACTGAGGTCCCAGGGCTGGTTTGGTCTCTTATACCTGGTAAGGGGAGGAATTTTTTATGTTATTTATTTCAGATGCTTGTCCCAAGGGAAGAGTACATCCATATTGTACTGCCACTATAAGGAAAAAGGAATTTATGGTGAGTAAAATTAGTTTTCCACCGTATTCAGTATTCACTGCTCCTGCAACAATAAATTAATGTAGTGTAAAATAATTCTGGGAGATCTTGTCAGATTAGATTAGACTGAGTTGAAGATAATTTCAGTAGCTGTAGGAAAAATTAGAGGCGCACCTTCCTTTTAGAAATTGAGGAAATGTTGCAGATGATACTTGCTTACATGTGTAACACTGCCCTTTTTCCCTCTGTGAAACTATATATTAGCAGTAACAATGATTAACTGATGTCTGTAGCGTTTTTCCTTAACCACTATTATACGGGTTCGAGTTGCTGCCGCAGAGTCCATGCCTCTTCTTTTGGAGTGTGCAAGGGTGCGTGGTCCTGAATATTTGACAGAGATGTGGCATTTCATGTGTGATGCTTTGATTAAGGGTATTGGAACAGAGCCGGATTCAGATGTGCTCTCAGAAATTATGCACTCTTTTGCTAAGGTAATGTACTTTACTTTTCTATCTGTCTTGCAATCTGTTTTCTAGACTGTTTTCTTACAACAAATGTAATTTTAATAAATTAATCGCAGAAATGCAATTGATGCTTTTTTTGGTATTGAATGTTTACACTTAGAACAGGTAAAATCCATTACCAATTTGTTTGTTTTTTTTCTTAATCAGGGAGTTAGACAATTAAATCTTCTTACAGCTGGGTAGCAGGAGCTTTGACACTGTGTAATTTGCCCTGCATTGGTCAGCCTGTCCATGATGTCTGGGGCTGGCATGCTGTTTGTTCTGACAGCTGATGCAAATATTGAAGAATACTGTTCTATCCAGCCATGTAAAGAGTGTTCCGTCTGGCTAATTAGTAGTTTGGTTTTATTTATTTTAAGAATTGCTGAAAGAACAGAATCTATGCACCATAACCTCTTCAGTAAGCGTAAGATAAAGTGGTCATGATGCTTAGCATGACTCTTTAATATTTGCAATAGAAATCCCATAAAAGAAGACTTGGTATACTGGTATTTAGACACACACCACCTTTTATATAGCTGGATTTAGTGTTCTAAGAGGTTATGGCCCATCCAATTTAAGATACACAGCTACACTTGCAATTTTATTAATTGTGTGGAAGTACATTACAATTCTCGACTACTCTACGTTTTTGAAAGGAATATGTCCATAACTGGAAAACACATGTTTTACGCCTAGTCACTTATTTTACATAAACATACTTATTTTATTTTTGTCAGTGCATTGAGGTTATGGGAGATGGATGCCTTAACAATGAACACTTTGAAGAACTTGGCAGTATCCTGAAAGGCAAGCTAGAGGAGCACTTTAAAAATCAGGAGCTGAGGCAAGGTAGAGTATTCGCTTTCTCGTCTTGCTGCAAGTTGCCGTATAATTGTGACAATTGATGTAATCTACATTTAAAGAACACTGTTAAAAATACTTCTCTATAGTAAAGTTTAGCTGTGCTGGGCATTAAGACACCAAATGTAAAGGACTTGAAATTGTTATTAAATTATATACGTGGTGTTTTTTATTTTTTTTATTTTAGTGAAGAGACAAGATGAAGATTATGATGAACAAGTAGAGGAATCATTACAAGATGAAGTATGTTTAAGACTGAATAATTGCTTTTTAGTTTGTGTAATACTCATAAAGATCCCTATTGTGTCCCCATAGAATTACATATGTTCAGCTCACTAGAAATTTATATAAGGACACCTTTGATTTTACACCGGCATCTCTCATCATATTGTGGGATATATTATTATATTTTGTATATTTACATTACAACTGCAATTATCTTTTGTATCAGCATGTGGCACCTATTGCAATGTTCCTTTCTATGCTGCTAATTTCCTAATTTACCTTAAGTTGGCTAGATTTATTTTAACTTCCATTACAGATTTGTGTTAACACTTTTAAATTAACTTAAATGTTCAGATTGTCATTTGTGGGCTTTAAATCTAGTGTGTTATACATATGTCGCATTCATAATTTCTGAACTTTACCTTTATTTCCTTTTTTTTTTTTTTTTTTTTTTTTTTTTAATGATGTTTACATCCTGACAAAAGTATCAGATATTTTGCACTCTATATTCAGTAGCTACAAGGAGAAGGTGTTGCCGTGGTTTGAACAGTTATTGCCTTTAATCGTTAATTTAATTGTGAGTATTCCATATTTAAAAGACAATTAGATGTAATTAATATTTTGTTTGATTCAGCTATATCGCAAGAACCTCTAATATGTCATTGTGTTCTGTTTAATTACTACACATTTTGGGCCATTACATACCACTGTCAGAAGTAAATGTGTGGTCATTGTTTCTCCTTTCATTGCATTCTAATCCCATTACAAACTGGCAGTGTAAAATTAGGTCTGTTACATCGAGATACCATACACACAGCTAAATTAGGAAATGGTGAGCCAGTGAACACTGAAGACATTCCAGGAATATCAGTGCAATGCTGGCAAAATATGAAGTTCCATCAAGCAATCTGTATCCTTGGTGGAATTTTGGTCTTTGCAGCTTTCTCCTCAGTTTTCAATACACTGTCACAGCTTGGAATTCTATATTCTAAATTGTATTAAAGCAATCATTGCTGGGTGAGGTGAATTGACAATTAAAGGAACTGCACTCCGAGGTATTACACCATAACATCTAAAGTAAGTTGAAGTGATCATGGTATCAGGTGTCCCATAATACACAAAATTTTCCTGTTGAAACAACTGTTAGTGTTTAGTTTAACAGTGAGAATTCAAATAACATTTCAAATTCAAGGCCAGAGTAGCCGAACTGAAAGCACAGCTAGCGGAGAGGTCTACAGCAGTACAGCTATTTTGACATTAAACTTGACATTCACCTTGAATTACATTATTTAAACAAAACCATATTCTTGTGTGGAGCAGATGAGAGCAATGACCTTTATATGTCTTTAATGGACCAGTTTAGGCACCATTACAACTTCATCGAAATTAAGTTATGGTGCTAGGAAGCAAGGGGTTAAACAGTTCTTGAATAGTTAAACCCCAACGTCTCTGTACCAGTACCTCTGTCCTGCTGTTTTCTCAAAATGGGGAAATAGAAGGTTTTTGCAGACTTGGGCAGCGGCGCTGCTCATTATTGTTTTATATAGTGCCAGCTTTTTTCGCAGCGCTTTACATTAAAAGTGGATTTTAATGTCAGCTGTCACTCTTAGCCAATCGATCACAACCCATTTGCGAAAACCCTTATTATGAGCCAGTGCAAGGGACCTCGTGGCACCATAACAACTGAATGTTGATGAAGTTGCTATGGTGCCTGAAGTGTTCCTTTTAATCTAGTACTGTAATGAAATGAATTGTAGAGTGGAATTTAGAGGACCGTACATTTGCGTATTTTTACCCCTGCTTAAAATTAATCCTATTTACAGCATTTTTCGATTATTAAATGTATATAGATTTTGTTAAAGTATAATCTGGAACTATAACTCTTCTAAATGCAGCAATTAATGTATCAGTACATAAAAAGAACTAGTGAATTCCAACATAGTCATAACGTGCATTTACAAAACGTTTTATAAAATTCATAAACAATGTACATTAACAAAAGGAATTGAAGTGCTTATTTCTGTAGCTTGCTTCAACTAGACCAAAATGTGAACTAAGCACTCTTACAGTGACCAAGACAATAAGTCATACACATTTTGTTTCTTACAATTGTGTTCCAAGTTTCCCTGTTCTTGGGGTGTAAATTTTGACCCATGTGGCTGCATTCTTCTTCACTCTTGAAGTACATAAGCAAAACTGCTTTATTCAATCCACTGAGTAGTAGTCAGAGGCAATAGGCATTGTGATATACTTACTATGTGTCTGCCTGGACATCTTTTAGTTCTAATGCAGGCTCTTTGGCTACCAGCAAGTTAGCTCAGACAAAACTATCCTTGACTAAGTGTGTAGGTAAACGAATAAGTGGCCCAATGAGGCCAAAATTGATCATACATTTTTTTTAAATTGACAATTTTTATTGTTTCGTGCGGTGGGGGTACAGAAAGGAAGAAGGAGGGAGGGTAGGGGGGGAAGGGTGGACAGATTTCATCAATACATATTAACATATTAACAACTCTCATTCAGTTGACCATGAGTATTCAGGCTACTTATACCGTTCGTAGACGGTTTGTGACCAGAAGCCTTGTCTTGCATCTTTTGTGTGTCAGAGCGGGATGGGTGTGCTCCCCACTCGATCCCTTATGGGAACTAACAGGAGGGGTCTCATCCTCGCTCTCTATTCTCGCACCTCTTGCGCTGTTTCCCACTGATGTGCGAGGCGCTTCTGCTTTTATGTGGTTTGTACATACAGTATCATTGGTAGGTTACATTTACGTTTCTCTATCACCCGATCTCCATGAGTTCCACATCTCCCATGCTGCTTGTGTGGTGTTGGATGGGGGGAACAATGTTTTGAAGCTCGTTTCAAACGTTCTTTGTGTGTCCAGGTCCTCAATGACCCGTTTCATACCAGGGGTAGTTGTTTGTTTCCAGTGTTGAGCAATTAAGCGCTGTGCTGTCAACATTATATGTAACAGGAGTTTTTGCTTGGCTCTTGGTAAGCTTTTTGGGAGGTCGGTTATTAACATCTGACGGGGCGCAAAAGGAATAGAGCAGCCAGACGCCGCTTGTGCAATTTTATGGATCCCCGCCCAGAAAGTCTGGATGCGGGGGCACGTCCACCAGACGTGCAGGACCGTGCCCTCAGCCCCATTGCAGCGCCAGCATGTATTAGAAGTGGCAGGAAATAGTTTGTGCAGCCTGCACGGTACCATGTACCATCTATATAATGTTTTATGGCTTTGCTCCAGATGGGCGGCTGATTTGATCAGGAGCCTGGGCAAACGGAATATGCGCTCCCAGTCTTTTCTCAGGAGGGAGCAGTTTAGGTCCGCTTCCCACATTTGCGCTGTTTTTGAGGCAGCGAAGGGTAGATGGCGTGACAGGAGCTTGTCGATCATACATTTTAACGTTCTGTTAATGCATGGAATTTCCATTGAAGTAATTAAACACCTAAGATTGAAGCCAACGGGATACCTATGCCAACTAACTTTCCTTTCAATTCCATATCCAGCTACCCTGATGCAGGGCAATTTGCTTATAACGTCTTTTTGTGCACGAAGAAACACAAAATGTATTACGTCTCAAATGTATATATTAAGAGGAGAAAAAAAAATACAAAATGGTCCCCATACCACCTATCTTTGTAGTGTAGGCTGAGTCCTTACAGGGACAGCAACAGAATTTTTTTTTTCTACTTTTTCATTACTTTTCCAGAGGTTGACACATGTTTAAACCACTTTGGGTAAGCAGAGTGGCATACGGGTACAATCTGCACCATAAACTCTTGCACTTTAGTTGTGCTTAAAGTAACCATTTCATTCTGGAAAGGAAGAAACATCAGATTGTGATGCAGTGGCCTTGAAGCTAGTATTTTGGAGTCTGGAGCAGAGCACCCTGCTTTAGGAAGTACAGCTGAGCTTCCCAATCGTGGGAAGTTGAGTAGCGGGGATTAAGTATAGGGTGCTATAGTTAATTTAATGGAAAAGATATAAATGACAACAAATTAGGAGCCCAGGCAGTAGTGATGTAAATGCTATCTTGTCATTATTTAATGTGAAGTGAAAATAATGTGTAATACTTTATGTAATGTGTTAAATTTGTGTGTATTAACTTTGTGTATTGCTCTACAGTGCCCTCACAGACCATGGCCAGACAGGCAATGGGGTCTCTGCATTTTTGATGATGTCATAGAGCATTGTAGCCCATCGTCCTTCAAATACGTTGAATATTTTCTAAGGCCCCTGTTGGAGTCCATATGCGATAACAGTCCTGAAGTTCGGCAAGCAGCTGCGTATGGTAGTGGAGTAATGGCACAGTTTGGAGGTGACAACTATCGACCTTTCTGCACAGGTATGATTTGGGTTTTGTATTTAACAGCTGTAAATTTAACAGTATGTGCTGAAAAGCCTCAAAGCAGCATAATGGAAAACACATGTAAATGGATGAACTTGATAGGTTTAGATAAGTGTGACAAGCCCTGAAAAGACATGGATTTGGTTGAAGAGAAAGTAGGGGTAAGAGAAGTAAAATTTGGATGATTGAAAATACTTGTGTGAGAAGTTCTATGACTTAAATATATAGTCTGAATGCTGGCATTTGAGTACACTTTTCATTAATTGTTTTGTTTTTAACATTATTTTAGAGGCTCTTCCCCTACTTGTTGGGGTTATCCAGGCACCTGATTCTAAAACCAAAGAGAATATTAATGCAACAGAAAATTGCATCTCCGCCGTAGGGAAAATCATGAAGTTCCGTTCTGATTGTGTAAACGTAGAGGAGGTGCTGCCCCACTGGCTGTCATGGCTGCCACTTCATGAGGACAAAGAAGAAGCCGTTCACACATTTAACTTCCTGTGTGATCTAATTGAAAGGTATATTACTTACCATAGTTTTCTGCTTTATTTCGAATATCTTATCTTCATCATTACAATGATCAGAAATATTGAGATCAACTCTAGCTTTGGACATTTTGTTGTTTTAAATGTAACTTAGTGTCGTATTAGGAAGGAAGTGTTGCTATTGATTGGATTACCTTGGCCAATTTTTTTTATTTATTTTCCCAAATATGTTGAAATTGCAGCTCCAAACTGTTTTGCATTTCTTTTGTGTGTAAATGGACAATTATATACAAATGATAGTCAGAAGTTAGAAAAATATACATACATATATCTATTTCTTATCTTCACAGTAACAATCCCATTGTGCTAGGACCCAACAATTCAAATTTACCCAGAATATTTAGTATTATAGCAGATGGAGGCATCCATGAATCTATTAAAAAAGAGGACATATGTGGTAAACGGCTTGCTAATGTAGTTCGACAAGTACAGGTGAGTGATACATTTTTTGGGGGGAATAAAATCTTGAGATACTTTTTGAGGGTGTTTACAAATTAATATTGACACTGGGATCTGAACTGTTTTGGGGACCATCACAAAGAGGGGGGCTATAAGATCAGGTGATGACAGACACAAGGAAGAGTGAAAGGCATGCTGTGACATACAAAAGTGATGCACAACACAGACAGGCTGGATGACACACAGATATATGGCATGTAGATTACTTTACTAAGCTTTCACACACTATAAAATACAATCATTAAGATTTTGTGGGAGAAAATTGAAGTCTGGGGAAAAAAAATACTGATAAACATTTTTTTTTCTTTTTAGGCCTCAGGAGGATTGTTTGCAGAATGTGTATCACAACTGAATGCAGCCCAGCAGAAAGCTTTACAGGATCTGCTTAGTACTGTGTGAAAGATTCTACCATCTTATATCAGGAAAACTAACATCGAATAAACTTACCTCTTCTGTTTAGGTTTCTTTTGTTTGTTTTGTTTTTGAGGGGGGGGAAAAAATGGTAGTGCTTATAGGCCATTTTATCTGCAGGCCATATGATATGGTTGGGAGAAAAACCCCTGTATCCCAGACTGAAATAATTTAAATGGATACCTTCCAACAAGAAAAGACACTTCCTGCAGATTTACAATTAACTATAGAAGGATTTATTTTTCTATCCTTAAATGTGTATGATCCTAACACATCTGTGGCTAGGAAGAACAGCTTTACATTGTCTTGAGTTTCAATACATTTTAGTCTGGGTGCTCGATTTGGGTCTTTAGGTAAATTGACCTTTAATCCCATGTGCAGATGGGCCTACAATTCTTCTGAAAGGGTGCTTTCCCACCCTGTTCAGGAGACAGTGGTTTGATAAGTTTATCATTAGTTAATTAGCACGATGTTATAATCGTCAAGACAGATTTGTCTGTCCTTAGTATTACCACAACTCGGCATGGAGTGTGGGATAGAAAAAAAATCCTTATACCCTGTGAAGTCATATAAAACTGAAGGTTTGAAGACTAGTGAGATTTGCATGACCATTCATTTGACATCCATACTTTTGGGGGCTGATTAATTTATGCTCCCCCTTTTGCCCAGAAGAATTGTGGATTGATGCAGGAAAATATTTAGCTTCAGGCCCTTTGAATGTGAAATGTCTTTTTGGCATGTCTGGCAATATCTCCTTCACTCTTCAATAAACAATATTGAAATACATCTTAGTCTTTGAACAAATTCCATGCTGTCTGCTTTGTTGTATACAGTTACTCTAATAAACTCTTTTTAGGAGCTCATCAGTCAGTATCTTGCTTAAAATGCAAAAAACGGTTTAGTCGATGAATTTATTCACTCGTTCTAATAAACATTTCTTATCTATTTTTGCTCGTTTTTCTTAGTGTGTTTGCCACATAAATGTTTGCACATATGTAGCATTTAGAATATCTAATACATTCATTTTAGTCTTGCTTTAATAGACTTTGTTTTTTAAATCTCCATTAATTATAACTGTTAAAGTTTGTACTAATCAATAGATATCCTAAAACATAAAAGCTTAAAATAAGACTGTTTTTAATATGACTTTTGTTTCCTTAGGATCTCACTACACTATTGCATATTTAGGTGTTACATTTGATGTACATAGTAATGAATTTACCTTTAAGCGGTATAGAAGCATTGCTAGGAAGAAAAAAAAAAATGGGGGTTCTATTTGTTGGATGACAATGAAATGCTTACTTACAATACATAGTTAAAATATTAGTAATAAAACAGCTTTTTGTCTTTAGAGCTTTTCAAGGGCGCATGCAGAAAGCAAATGAATGTGGCTTAGGGAGTAATGAACAAAATAGTACATATATTTTTGAAACTGAAATTTTTAGACCAGTCATAAAATTTGCTTTATGAGGTGTTTACATATCTTGTTAAGCTTTTCCATGTAGGGAACTTGTCTGAAACAGTCTATTCAATATTTTAAAAGTAATTGTAAAAGTAATTGTAAAATGTTAGATCAAAATACCTGAATTGGAATTATTCTCCAGGTAAAACATTTTTTTAGTTTGGCCATTTCGGCATAAAATGTGAAATTCACTTTGAGTTCCCTACAATTGACTCTTAAATCTATAACTCTTGACAGTCATGATGTGGGTGGGGGGGCTTTTGTAATTCAGTACTAATGCATTCACTCAGAGGATCTTACGGGTGACGTAAAACCGCATTGTGTGCTGTCCTGTGGGTATAGATTCTATACATAATTTCTCTCTGTATCAGTAATTCTCTGGAGATCCTGAAATGAGACATGCTGATAGTCTACATTTGGAATAAGTTATTGATTGCAAACAAACTTTCTGTTTAAAGCACTCTTCTAGCTTCTAAAATGTTTAAGACTCTTCACACTCATGTTTGTCTTTCGTGCACTGAATACATAGAAGGAAAGTATGATACATGCTGTCAAACATTATAATTTTTGTAAAAAATTTTTTAAAACATTCTTTCACCTTTTACACAAAATAAAGCTTTCAAATTTGTTTTAAGTTAGTATGTTGGGGACACTTTTTGAACTGTTGCAACTGTATATTTGATATGGTATTCCACATATTCCACAGTGCAGTACAACCGGGAAAGACAGTAAAATATACACAGGCCAACATAAAGTTAAAGAACATGTCTGTGAACGGAGATTGAAGCTCTCTTGTAGTATTTCTTCTTTACCTCCTGGCTAATCATGGCAGCATCACATATGGCTGGCCCCACCCCAAGTTGTCAACATGACTAGAATTAACCCATTAATTAGACTGTTGATCCCATTAATTAAACGGTAAAAAAGGTCCCTCCTCCCTTAATGCCACAGTTTTTTTTTGTTTTTTTTATGTCCTTATTTGGACAAACAGGAATTTCAACCTACATTTTTTTTTTTTTGGCCATGACATCCCAAACGAAATTCAGACTGAACTGCAACGTGGAATTTTGATAACGCTTTATTTGTATCTAGGACAGGGGTGCCCAAATTTGAATCTTGAGATGTTTGAAAAATACTAATTTCAATGATACTTAGTCATGCAAAGTATCATGGGAGTTGTAGTTCTAAAACATCTTGGAATCCACATTTTGGGCATCCCTGATGTGGAAGATGTCTTATAAAAAAAAAAGGCATTAAATAGAGGGGTTGGTTTTGCAGGTTTGTTTTACAGTCCATCTCCTTCCCCTTCTTTTCGCCATTCTTTCGGATGGCGAAAAGAACAACTTTGCCAATCGACTCTATGCCGTACCTAAGGGAACCAAGAAAAGTAATAATCCTGGAGAAATAAAAGATAGACATCTTTTTTAAGAAAGCAGAAGCTACTTACTACTGGGAGTACTCTAGAACTGCAAACAACCTTGAAAACGTGAAGAGAAAGAGGATCCAGAACCAGTAATAGAAACTTATAAAGGTGTGGAGGACTTCATCTATTCTACCCTGTGTTGGCCATAAATATCAGACTCCTGGGTCTTGTCTGTTATCAGAGAGGGTTACAGGATAGAATTTTCATCCTTTCCAAAAACCAATCGAGGTTTAAAAGGGATAAAAGAAAAGGCCATGAGAGTGCGTTTTTAAGCTTCTAAAACAAAAGGTGATACAGGAAGAAATATTCCAAGGCTATTTTCCATCCTTACCGTAGGTTCATCTCGTGAGGAGTTCTTCATATTCGAGTGGCAATGAAAAATCTTTAGGAACACAGATGTGTGATAAATCTAGAAAAGAGCACACTGAATCCTTCACAGAAGATGGTCTTTCTAGGTGCAGTAATAGACACCACTGTTGCACAAGTATTTGTCTCCAGAGAGAGAGAGAACAGAATTCAGGAGAAAATTCATTGTAACAACTCTCTCTGCAAGAGAATTCACGAGTCACCTGGGTTCATGGACTTCAAAAATAGGTTTATTTCATTGACTATTGAGAAAAGTGTAGTCTTAAAGGGATACTATAGTCACCAGAACAACTACAGCTTATTGAATTTATTCTGGTGAGTAGAATCATTACCTTCAGAACTTTTGCTGTAAACACTTGTCTTTTCAGAGAAAATGCAGTGTTTACATTACATCCTAGTGATAACTTCACTGGCCACTTCTCAGATAGCTGTTCGAGATCCTTCCTGGGTCATGGCTGCTTAAAATGCATCCAAACATTCAGTGTCTCCTCCCTCTGCATACTTTCCTTGTAGAGATGCATTGATTCAATTCAGCACTATGAGGAGATGCTGACTGGCCAGGGCTGTGTTTGAATCATGCTGGCTTTGCCTCCTTGTCAGTCAGCCAATCCTATGGGGAAGCATTATGATTGGGCCATGCCACGCATGCACATTAGGTCTCCCCCACCGGGTGACGTTAGTGGGGGAGGGACATCGGCGCTGGATTCAGGTAAGTCACTGAAGGGGTTTTAACCCCTTCAGCAACGGGATGGGGTGGCACTGCAGGGTCCTGTAGTGCCAGGTAAACGGCTATGTTTTCCTGGCACTGGAGAATCCTTAAAGCAGAGCCCCAGAGGAATAGGCAGAGGGGACGATACCTGCCTGAAAGGAGAGCTGCAGCCTTGTCGGGTGGAAAGCTCCAGAGAGTCCACTGTCAAGCCTCGGCGACTGGGGTTGAAGCGCCTCAGGCTCCCTCTCCAATGGCTAGGAAGCAGATTGGCGGAGGTACTCAGTCGGAGTACAGGAGTAAAGATGTAAAAATGAGGCCAGAATCAAAAAGATAGCAAGCTTGCAAGGACAGGCTGATGCGGGTACACATCTTGCATGGAGGGTGAAAGAGGAGGAGCAGTATTATGAGAAGCAAAAATAAGTAAAGTTTTAGCGAGATTGCGTTTCAGAAAGTGGGAGTACTTCCATTCAGATGGAAGAAAGTCAAGCAGTGACGTCAGGGCCGTCTTTTTTTTTTTTTTTTTTTTAAATGTTTCATTTTTCTTGAGATGAAAAGGTTTCGGATTGACACTTTAACCTACATTTTACGTTTCATACATATTGCATAACAGAGTATATAGTGATAACATTGTACAATGGCATTTTACAATACATCCTCGTAGTAATGGTACAGTGTGTTGTTTCAAGCAACAATCATGCTTTTGTTACAGGTGGTGAGTAGTGCCCTGATTTTAGTACCCGGTAGACTGGGCATGCTTTCTGGTGTGTGTTATCATGCCTCTAAGTGCCTTCTCCCTGGCCTCCGGTGGTCAGCCTCCCACCTGTATCCTCCACTCTTCTTTGGGGTGGGCCCGATGGTTAGCAACCGGGTTCATATCACCTTTGCGTGTTGTTTGTTTATTTGTGTGGTGTCGTGTCTTGTAGGCTGGGAACTAATTTACCTGCTCATCATCTCATATTTTAAGGCTCGGTAGGGCAACGTAAGCCCTTATTTTGTGTATGGGGGGGGTGAACTGGGATAAGGGTGTA